GTGTTGTCACACCAGATTACTGGCTTGTGACTCTGATGGATGCCAAGGTCAGACAGTAAAGCTTGAACCCATGTTATGTCAGCTGCTGTGTCTGCTACACTCTTGTATTCAGCCTCCATCGTGGACCGAGAGACTGTTCTTTGTTTTTTTGAGCACCAAGTAATGAGGCACTTGCCAAGGAATACCCCATATCCAGTAATAGATCGCCTGTCATCGATGCTGGCACCCCAATCAGCATCAGCAAAGGCAGTTATATCTAAGCTATTTCCAACACGTGAGAATGAAAGTCCAAAGTTAAGTGTTGCTGATAGGTATCGCAATATTCTTTTCACAGCCACGAAGTGAGTTTCTCTTGGTGCATGCATATGTTGGGCAACTTGTCCTACACCGAATGAAATGTCAGGTCTTGTGTGGCAAATGTATAGTAATGAGCCCACTATGCTTCTGTATTCGCTGGCATTCTGAATCAATTCACCCTCTTCATGAGATAGTTTAGGAGATACAACCATGGGTGTAGCACAGCTTGCTGCATTTAGCATCCATGTTTTCTCCAGTAGTTCAAGGATGTACTTTTTTTGACTCAGAACAACTGAGTTGTTGCGATGTTTTACTTCAATACCTAGAAAGAAGCTTAGCACTCCTAGGTCTTTTAGTGAGAACCGACTTTGCAGCATTGAAACAACGTTCTCTATAGCACTGGAATTTTGTCCTGTAATGACTATATCATCCACGTAAACAAGTGCATATGTATAGTTGCCATCATTTTGTTGAATAAACAACGACGAGTCTGCACGGGACACTACAAACCCCATTTGCATCAGGTTTTCCTTAAGTTTGGCATGCCAGTTGCGGGGTGCCTGTCGAAGCCCATAAAGAGCCTTCTTGAGTTTACACACTAGAGGTCGGTTGCACTCGTCTTCTTGTTCGAACCCAGGAGGTTGTTGCATGAACACCTCCTCGGACAGATATCCGTTGAGGAAGGCATTATTGATGTCAATATGCCGAAGTTCCCAACCATTCGAGACTGCTACAGCTAAAACTGTATTGAATGTTGAAAACCGAACTACAGGACTGAAGGTGTCCTTGAAGTCCTGGCCTGGAACTTGTGAGAAGCATTTTGCCACCAAGCGTGCTTTGTATCTATTCACTGAGCCATCGGGGTTGCATTTAACACGAAAGAGCCATTTGCATCCTACTACCATTCTGTCTTTGGGAAGTCTAACTAGAGTCCATGTACCATTATTAGTTAGAGCTTTATACTCTTCATGTACTGCTGCAGCCCAGTGAGGGGATTGAAGAGCAGCATCAATTGTATTGGGAACATCATCATCATCCATTATACTCGAAAATACCTTGGGCTTGAAAACTCCACATCGACTACGAGTCATCATATGATGGACTCGAGTCTGAGGAGTACCAGCAGATTCAGACACGGTAGGAGCATCGTCATCAGACTCAGGAATGTTACCTTGAGTATCATTAGCTGGTACACTTTCAACATCTGCACTTATATCGGCTGCCGTATCAGGTGCAGTCTCAGTTGAAATAGTAGCATCAGAAGCATGTTGTATGACATCATCTGGAACATGCTGGGTTTCGTCAATATCTATCTCAAGTGTGTTGGGAGCCTCTGTACCATTATCCTCTTCATGCATATTAGTTGTATTAGTCAAGTTTGATGGAGCTGGACAGCAGGAGTTTCTGAATGTTGTAATAATTCGAAGGGTCTGAGCATTCGGATTGACTGCAGGATCTAGGGAAGTACAGCTACCTTTCCCTGCAAATGGAAAAATAGATTCGTTAAACACAACATGACGAGAAACATATACTCGTCCATCGGGAGCTAAGCATTGGAAGCCTTTGTGCTGTGGGCTAACTCCCAGGTAAGTGCATTCTTGTGATCGGAATGACAGCTTGTGCTTTTGAAACATTCTCATATGCGGGAAGCATTGGCAGCCAAAGGTCTTCATCATAGAGTATTCGGGTTTCTTGCCAAACAATTTTTCAAAAGGCGACATATCTTGTAATACTTTAGTTGGCAGGCGATTAATTAAGTGTACAGCAGTGGTGACAGCATATGACCAATACTTGATTGGTAAGGACGCCTGGGCTAACAATACTAAAGCTAGCTCAACAATGTGACGGTGTTTCCTTTCTACCACACCGTTTTGCTCAGAGGTGTGTGGACACGTGAGCCTATGTATAATGCCAGCACGAGCCAGTAAGTGTGAAATGCTGCGAAATTCACCGCCCCAGTCCGTCTGCAGTGCTTTGATCTTGCTCCCGAACTGATTAGATATAAGTTTCTGAAACAGTTGAAATGCCAAATATGCTTCATCTTTGTGTTTTAAAAGGTAAATCCAGGTGTGTCGAGTGTAGGCATCTACAAATGATATGTAAAACTTAAATCCATTGGAGGACATATGTGGGGGTCCCCACAAATCTGAATACACAAGTTCAAACGGGGAATTAGTCAATGTATTGGATTCATTGAAAGGAAGTTTATGGCTTTTGCCTACATGGCATGCAACACACTTTTTATTTATATGAGAATGAATTTTAACACCTATTGCAGAAGCTATTTTTGATAACGTCTCAGCAGCTGGATGTCCAAGTCGGCGATGCCATAGCTCATCTAACCGAGTAGAATCAAGACTATTATTTGTTTGGGCAATGTTAGCCTCTAGAGGTTCATCCATGACAAACGAATACAAACCATCAGTTTCTTCTCCTTGAAGTAGCAATGTTCCAGTCGCTTCATCCCGAATACAACATCGATTTGCATGAAATTCAATGAAGACATCATTGTCCTTAGCAAGCTTCGAAACCGAAAGCAAATTTCTGGTTATTTGTGGCACATGTAGCAAATTATTCAAGAAAAGTACACGCGATGAGGTGTTTACTTGAGCATGACCAACCAAAGCAACATCGAGAGGCATACCATTCCCAATTAAAAGCTTACCTGGTCCACGATATTCAGAGGAGTTCATGACCTTATTGGCATCAGCAGTGACATGATGCGTGGCACCTGTATCAACCACCCAACAGTCAGATTGCATAGAGGCTGTGTGAACTTGTGGTTGATCGCTTGCAGCATATCCATTTCGCTTCATGGCACAACATTCACAGCCATCATCAGCAGATGAACTTGTAAAGCTATTAGAGGGAGGAACCACTTTGTATTCAGATTGATATTGATCTTGTTGAACAGAACTAACACAGGAGAAGTCTTTGTTGAATCTGTGCCAACATCGATCAACAAGGTGACCAATTTTTCCACAAAGCTGACACTGAACTCTGGATCGGCCTCGACCTCTACCATTAGTTCTCGAACTATAAGAGTAATTAGATCGTTGGTTAGGATTATTAGAAGTATTTCTTACTTCACCTTGTGCAATATTCGCACTCATAGGCAGGGTTTCAAGCTGGTCATCAAAGCTGGCTAATTGAGTTTCTGCATCAATTAACATCGTGGAGATGCTATCTAAGGACAGAGTGTCCCTCATGGACGTGATGATCGCCATGAAAGGTTGATACTCTCGAGGGAGTCCTTTCAAGATGCTGGCTATTTGTTCAACTTGTGGAACTGTACTCCCACAGGATGCTAGAGCATCACAGACCTCTTTGACACGGGTGAGATAGGCTCGCATGCTGTCACCGCCTTTCTTTAAAGACTGGAGCTTGTAGTGAAGGCTCATAACTGTTGTTGTCGAGCGATTTGCAAAGAAATGAAGAACTGTGTTCCAAACTGTTGTTGCCGTTTCAGCGCCAACGAATTGAGAAAGGAGGTGTGGGCTAATCGTGGACAGCAACCAGGATGCTAAGGCACTGTCTTGAGCCACAAAATCTTCATATTCCTCGTTGATACGAACGGTTCCATTTTCATCAACCACCGTTTCCGGCAGAGTCACAGCTGCTCCGGTAAGCAGTCGTTCCAAGCGGTGACTTCGAATGGTGAGCAGGATCTGTTGCTTCCAAAGAAGAAAATTCGTTTCATCTAACACCACATTTACCTTCTTATTGGTAAATGTTTTAGAACCCATAGCGATCTCCATCAGAAACTATTCAGGCAACGGAAACAGAAACCAATCTTGAGATCCCAAGATCTATGGCGATTGATACCATATTAGGATGAGAAAGGAAAGCAAAGATTTCAGAAAATGTATATTGATGAACATTCTAATTGCAATACATGAGCTGTGTTTTAATACAACACAAGTGATCCAGCTTAACAGAAGCTCAACCGCTTCCTAACTGCCTAACCTCTCAACAGTTTCCTAACCGCCTAACTTCCTCTGAACGGCTACTGCCAGCATGGCACATCAATGTGGAAAGAAGACTTCATACAGCTAACACGTAGTACTTCAATTTTTACTGCAAAAGAAAGAGGATTCTCTCACTTACATAATTTCTCAAGCTAAATAAGGGAGCGAATGATAAAATAAACTTGAATATAAGACAGGGAAAATGGAAATAAATCAAGGAAAGAAAAAAAGAGGTATAAGAAAATAGAGAGTGATCAACTCTTGTCCCCAAACACACGTATAAAAGACAAGTGATGTCTAATTTTTTTTCCATAATAATTTATTCATATTTAAATACCTCAACTTTGATAGAAAAGGCACACATATTTCATTCCACTCAAATGGACTTAAATCCCAACTAATAAAAGTCTATTCCTTAGTCCAATAAAATAATAACTCACAGAGATTGGGTTGAATAGAGCCCGAACCATTTACTCGTTACGACTCTAAAAATTCAGAATGTTACAATATTATAATCATAATTTTAATTATTCAAATTTATTAAAATAAATTAATATGTTTAAATTTAATAAAAAATAATTTAAGATGTATATTTTTAACTTACCCGATGTAGGATAAAGTCTGTTAATATCTTAGATAAATTTGATCTAGTTCCGGCCCGGCCCATTACACACAGAACCTGCCGCTGAGTGCCTCACCCCTAAGGCAATTAGACGGAAAACATTAGTGCAACTCTTAACATCCAAACAGCTCTCGACCCTTTCTTTAATTTATTCTCAAAACGGTTCTCAGTCTCCCCCGATCTCGAGAGCCCCTCCACCGGAACACTCTTAATCCCTATCATTTTCTCCCACTGGCGACTTCCACCGAAAACCCTAGCTATTCGTCTCCCCTAACCATGCTCAACCTTTCCTCCACGCTCGCAACTCACGTTCGGTTTCTGCTCCAGTCGTTGACCGAAGCCAACGCCGAATCAGTTTCTCGAGAGCTCTGCCAGGTTTTTTTTTATCCTTTTCTATCATTTTCTGTAGTCAGATGCGCCGATTGTGATATCTTTTTGTTGCAATTCTAATGATTCGTCCTGTCACTCCAAAAGCCCTAAAAGTTTCGCAGAAGTCATCGCTCGATTTAATGTGTGCTTATGCAATTATATTGAGTTTGGATCTCGTTCTAACGCATTGCTTGATCACTTTTTAGTTCGATTACTTAGATTGGTGCTGTCTTATCCATAGGAATATATGTACAGGGATGTAAAGGGAGACTAAGATCTAAGATACTGGAAGTTCGATAACAATCTTACTTAAATACGAGAATTTCTGCTGCTTTCTTCTTATAAAACAAAAACTCTTTAACGCTGTAAACTGAATTTATAGATTATAAATTTATTATCAATGTTGGTATCTCTTTTTTTTTGTTTCCCAAATAAATTTAGATTCAAAAGTTTACGAGTTGGAGAAAATTGTTATACGATCTTTTGAACCCAAGCAATCCAATTCCCAGTTGTGTTAGTTACTTAGTTTTGCTGCATATATAACAATGAAGAGTGAACTTATTTAGATTCGTGTCCTTTTTCCTGGGTGTCAAAAGAGATATCTAGCAGGCTGGGATGGGGGATTTAGTTTGATTATTTTCAATTTTATGCAATTTTCTGGATAACATGCTGACTGATATGACCTGGTTTTTTCTTGGCAGTTCATTGAATATGGTATCGAGGGAAGCGTTCTGGTGCTGCAGACTTGCATGGACTGCTTGAACTCTCACAAGACAGATTCAAAGAACTTGCAATTTGAGCAAGTTGTAGCATCAACTTTTAGACACGCAATGGACAAGCCAAATTTTTGTACTGTCTTCTGTCAGTCGCTAAGTATGGATATCAGTGAGGATTTCTTGGAGAATTTCTCGAAAGCCATGCAGTTTTCCATTTCTGAAAAAATTGGCATTGGTCTTGCTCTATCTGATTCTGAAAATACTGATACAAGAATCTGTGGTAAGTTGCATTGTTTGAATGGGCTTTGGTTTGTTAAATGGATTTACTCTTGTTCAGTTTAAGTTAGGCTCTTACACACTGCTGATCAGAATGATGAAAGTGAAGCTTTTACATTTTTCTAGGGAAGAACTTCTGTATGGCTCAGGTTGAGGAATTGCACTCGAATCCTGCCTCTTTTGGTTCGACAGAGCAAATTCAGAATATAGTTATGTTCCTCCAATGCTCTGGTGCCCTTTCCAAGCACGTGGATTCCTTTATGCAGATGTTATCTCTAGTTCAAGCAAATGATGCTGCACAGTTTGTTTTAACACCAATACTTTCAAATGAATTACGCGAGGATAATTTCTTAAGGTGCTGATTTTTGCATCAGGCTCCTTAATCATCATGCAAGCTTCAGTGTCATGTTGTCTGATAACATTTTTAATCATGCTTTGATAATTCATGTTTTGTCCCATTTTATACTCTCCAGGAATATTGATTTCTTCAATGAATCTGGAGAAAATGATTTTGACACACTTTTGGAAGAAATGGAGAAGGAAGTGAGTATGGCAGATATCATTAAGGAACTGGGTTATGGATGCACTGTTGATGCTGCACATTGCAAAGAGATTTTATCTCTTTGTTTACCTCTGACAGAGATGACTATATCTAGAATACTTGGCACAATTGTCTTCACCTATGCTGGGCTTGAGGACAACCAAACCACGTTTTCAACATTTAGCCTGGTCCTTGGTTGCCACACATCATATGATTTGCCTTCATTGAGCTCTTGGAATATTGATGTTCTTATAAATTCTATAAAACAACTTGTGAGTAATACATTTTTTGCTTCTGCAGTTCTTGTTGCCATTTGATTTACTAGTATCCCTTTTCTTAAGAAACATATTTTCTTTATTTTTGTAATGCATACTGAATACAGGCTCCTGATACCAACTGGATACGAGTTATTGAAAACCTGGATCATGAGGGGTTCTACATTCCTACTGAGGCAGCATTCACTTTTTTCATGTCTGTATATCAACATGCATGCCAGGTATTGTTGATTGTGTTTTAGTACATGTGAAGTTACATGCTTCTTGTATTGCTTTAATTCTTTGATTATTCCTTGTGCAGGACCCCTTTCCACTCCATGCCATTTGTGGATCCGTGTGGAAGAATATTGAAGGTCATCTATCTTTTCTAAGATACGCTGTATCAGCAATGCCAGATGTATTTACCTTTTCCCATTCTTTGAGGAAGCTGGTAAGAGTTATGCAAGTGTACTCTTTTCTTTTCTTCTTGTCATTATATTTCCTGCAGGAATAATTTTCAGATCATGCAGGCCTATACGGATGCAGTGCATGGCCATAAGCTTCCCCTTGGAAATGAAAATCATGCCTGGCTGTGTCTTGATCTCTTAGATGTGCTATGTCAACTAGCTGAAAGGGGTCACACAAGCTCTGTTCGATCAATGCTTGACTATCCCTTAAAACACTGTTCTGAAATTCTGCTTCTTGGGATGGCACATGTTAATGTAAATGTCCACAATCTCAATATTTGATAATGCTGCCCGATTTTGTATGTTTAACTTTCAGTTAATAATTTTTGCATCTATGCTTGCAGACCACTTATAATCTCCTCCAGCATGATGTCACTTCCACAGTTTTTCCAATGATAATTAAAAATTCCCTGGGTGCTGGTATGGTACTTCAACTCTGGAATGTGAATGCTAATCTTGTTTTGCGGGGATTTGTAGAAGTACAGAACACTGAGCCAGACAACATGATTAGAATTTTGGAAGTTTGTCAAGAGTTGAAGGTAATTTGGATTTTCATTGATGTTTCTTCCCTTCTGCGTCACATTGGATTTTCTGCACCAGACTGTTGATAATGTCACATTGGATTTTGAAAGTTATGATATTATATTGTTTAGAAAATACTTCAGGATTTTTGTTTGTATGTTATATTTATTTTGGTAATTTCTCTTGTTTCTTATTTATTTTTGCAGATTTTATCATCAGTGCTGGAGATGATACCTTTTCCTTCTGGCATTAGATTAGCAGTCCTTGCTTCCAGGAATGAGGTCATAGATTTTGAGAAGTGGTTGAGTAATAACCTGAATATATATAAAGATGTTTTTTTGGAGGTAATACTAGGTCCTTCTGCAACCTATCTAATTATGAAAACTAATTTGGTCCTAAGAATGTTTTGCCTGACATGCTTCGTGCAACTCTCAGGAGTGCCTAAAGTTCTTGAAGGAGATACAATTTGGTGGGTCACAAGAGTTTTCTGCCAAACCTTACCGCCATGCTACTGATGTTTCAAATCTTTATTTGGAAGCTTGTTCTACCATTATCAAGGTTCTGCTTCTATTAATTGATTATTATTGTGATTTATGACTGATGTGTTTTTATTGGAACACTAACTGAGTTTCATTTGTTTTTACCATTTGCAGATCCTTAAAGCCAATACTGGGGTGATATCCTCTACTCTGCTTCTCGAGGAAATTGAAAGGTTGCATGTGGCAATTATGAATTCTACTCCAAAGTTGCAGAATGGTGGGACCAAAGAGTCTTCAACCTCTGACGGATATGGAGATGATATTGAGGCAGAAGCCAACTCTTACTTTCATCAAATGTTTTCTGAACAGTTGACCACTGATGCTATGGTTCAAATGCTTGCACGATTCAAGGAATCTTCTGTGAGAAGGTATGGTGTTGTTTTTGTATCTTAGTTTTTGCTTTCATTGCTTGGAAAGTTTTCTCAGCTTTGATTGTAAACACTCTTGCCTCTCCTAATAGGTTATGTGATTGTCCTAGTTTCCATGCATCTGGTTGATTTTTGTTATCTTTTTCGGTCAATGGAGCGACTTTTCTCTGTATTCCACATTCTATATCTGCTTTAACATTTATCATTGTTCGAAAGCATGGATTTGCAAGAAAGTTTCATGTTTAAAACATGATGGCTTTATGGGTTGCTTATTATTAACAGGGAACAAGTGATATTCGAGTGCATGATTGCGAATCTATTTGAAGAATACCGATTTTTCCCCAAGTATCCCGAAAGACAGCTCAAAATTGCTGCAGTTCTCTTTGGTGAGTTACTTTACAAGATGATCCTAATATACCAATTTTTATCCCAGCAGTTTAGCCTGCGGTTTTAGATATTTACTGCATGTGTAAGGTTTTTACCACTACTTTGGGTTACATTGCTGTTTTAGTGTTCAAATTCTGCCGTCACTTCTGTTTTTCTTTCACAATTTGTAGTGAAGTCCTGATGCATGCAATAATGAACTATGTAGATAAATGTGTTCAAAAGTAAGTACAACATATGGGTGCTATGGGACGGAGCCAGGATTGAACTATGAGGGGTGCAAGTTGTCTAATTTTGAAACAAATAGTTTCTTTAAAATTGAATAAACCATAAAATTTAAATGAGTAATGGTTTAGTTTCACTAATTTTAAAATTGAAGGGTCTTAAAGAGTAATTAAACCTGAAAAATTGGAAGTCAAGACATAATTTCATTTTAATACTGAAAGGTCCTAAAAAATAATTAAACTAGCAGATTGTTGGAGGGGCAAGGACTTGATTATAATGATTTCAAAATTATTAGTGACCTAATAACAATTTGATTGTCATGTTTGCTTTTTATGCTAAACACTAGTTATTTAACGTTTTTATTCTAAACAACGTAGGTTCCTACCTGTGGGTGCTAATAGTTTGATTGTCCTGTTTGTTTTTTATGCTAAACACTAGTTATTTAGTCCACAACATCAACATCCTTTTATTTGGTTCAATTTGCTAAGCCATGGTTGTGGATAAATTTTAGGCTCATCATCAATCAGCCTCTTTATTTAAACTTATTTCATGCTTTTGGAATTTTCAGGCTCTGTGATCAAGCAGCAACTTGTAACTCACCTAACGCTTGGAATTGCCTTGCGTGGTGTTCTAGATGCATTGCGTAAACCTACAGATTCAAAAGTTAGTTATTTCATAGCATTAGTCTTCTCTTCTTTCTCATCTTTGGTTTCTTGTCCATGAAGGTGTCAAGCAACTATTTAATTGGTTGCATTAATGAATTATTGATGGTGTATCTGCATATACAGATGTTTTTGTTTGGAACCAAGGCCTTGGAGCAGTTTGTGGATCGTTTGATTGAGTGGCCACAATATTGTAACCATATTTTACAGATATCTCACCTGCGTGCCACTCATCCAGAAATTGTTGCTTCCATTGAACGAGCTCTTGTCAGGATTTCATCAGGTCACTTGGATTCAGATGGGAACAACAATCCTTCTGTTCATCACGAGATTTCCTCTCAGGTGACCCCAGGAAACGGGGAGGTAGGCCGTATTTGTTTTTGTTGCATATAGTTGAATTTAAATTGTCAAATAGTTGTGTTGATAAATGTTAACTTATCCATAATAAATAGATAAATAATACCACTTTTTACTCCCTATGAATCAACAACAACAACAAAACCCTATTCCCATATGTAATGAGATAAGGGGGAGGTAGGGTTGTAGGCTGCCCCCAACGCCAGGTTGAGAGCAGCTTCTGCTGAAGACCTTCGGCAGTCAGTAAAATAAAAATAAAGATAAATTACATGCATGTATAAATAAATAAATAAATAAATACATAGTTGAACAGTCTTTATATGCAGTCTTAATATGCGTGTCTGTATTGGAATTAATCCCTGCAAATAAATCCCTGCGTAAAAATCTTTACATATAGACAGAAACGCAAGTCCCGGCTAAATTTAGAAGGAGGAAACATGCAGAAAATGATACACAGAATTCAACGATAGCAAGCTACGAGAAGAAATAAAGTCAAATGGGTTAAAACCTATAACTAAGGCAACATTATTTCGCTACGCTAGTTCTAAGTCTTCATAATTTCCAATGACAGAAACCTATAAAAAGTAGAAGTCATGGAAATTAATACAAAGGCATTAAAAAGCAGACAGAGGTGCTACACCCTATGGCTGTGACCCACACTATTCGGCTACCCTGGTTTTAAGTCTCCATACTTTCTTATCAGATGTCATATCCTCGGTAAGGGTTAAATCATTTAAATCAAATCTCAAGCAGTCTGCCTACTTCCTCCCTGGTCGTCCTCTCCTTCTGGTACCGATGACTGTAATCGACTCTACCCTCCTGACCGCATCCGACTTTTGTCGCCTAAGGACATGCCCAAACCACCGTAGTCTTCCCTCCCTCAATTTTTCGGATACATACACCACCCCCAAGAACATCCTAATTGCAGAGTTTGGTGTCATGTCCCACAGAGTCCTACCACATGCCCATCGAAGCATTCTCATTTTTGCGGCCTCTATCCTCCTTACGTGATCCTTCTTGATTGCCCAACATTCTGATCCATACAGCAACGCTGGTCTTATTGTCATTCAATAAAATTTTTCCTTAAGTTTTAGAGGCACCTTGTCACACAAAACTCCAGTCGTAGCCCTCCACTTTAGCCATCCCGCCTTTATACGGTGTGTAACATTATCATCTACACCCCCATCTTTATGTATCATAGACCCTAGGTACTTGAAACAATCTTTTGAGGGGAGAACGTGTCCTTCGATGCATACATTTACATCTTCATCGTTTTGGTTCCCACTGAAGTTTGAACATAAATACTCTGTCTTTTCAATATTATTCCTTAGACGTTTTTCTTCTAAAGCAGTCTTCCAGGTAACCAGTCTACTATTCAACTCAGCTTTTGTTTCAGCAACTAGGACAATGTCGTCAGCGAAAAGCATACACCATGGAACACCGTCTTGTGTTGCATGCATTGAAAATCATTCTTTTCTAGATCATGCATTTAGATCTTGTTTCTTCAATTGAGGATTTGATTTAGTTTAAATGGTTGCAGGTATTGGTTTTCTTTTGTGTTATGTTCTTTTGCGTTGTTTTTTTCCTTTTCCTGTAGGTGTAATTTAGAAACAGGGTGATTGTCGATGGGGTTTTCTTGTTGAGGATGTAAGAGTTTTAGGTGTTTATGGTTTGTTGTAATGGTGTATTTCTCCATATGAGGATATTCCGTGTTTTCATATGTATTCAATATTATTCTTAATAAACTATGAGGTACTCTTTTCTTCCTTCCAATGTTTGTTAACATACTTCTTAGTATGTGGACGAATACGAAGGGAGTTTTTAATGAGAACTCCAACTTTTATCAAAAAAAAAAAAATTAAAAGAAGAAGAAGATGGTTTTGATTCAGTACTGCCAAATTAAAGAGGAAAAGGGGTTCTATCAAAAAAAAAAAAAAGAGGAAAAGGGGTAAAACATATTTGGTTGGTGAAGTTTAAAATGGTAAATAATCTAACCTGCTGATGATCTGTTTGCCATTGTGTTATAATTTTCTAGTTATAGAGTTATCCTTTATTTCTGTTATCTGGGTTATTGCTGAGTTGTTTTCTAATTTTTGGAGTCACCATTTCAGTTAAATAGCTCTAGCATTGCTCAGCCCGGGCCACAACTTTCTTCTCCACTTCAGCTTGCAAGACATGATAGTTCTCATGATGACCGTCATAAAGCCCTTGCTGCATCATCAAATGATGTGAAACCACTGCTAGCTTCTGTAGGGCAGCCTCCAGTTGCTTCCTTGACTGATGCTTCTAGCAATCAGAAAGTATGCCTTTTGATTTGATTGTTTTATGATCTATGTGGAATTTTCTTTCCTAGAACTAATATTATTCTCAAAATTGCAGCCGCAAGGTGCAGTCAGTGGTTCATCTATGCTGTCTGCTTCTCCTGGTTTTGTTCGTTCTTCTCGCGGCGTTACTTCTACTAGTAATATTTTTCCATAGATTCATTGGGATATTTTATTTACATTCTTCCATAGAACACGGACATCTTACATGCTTATGCAACAATCTTTTGCTTTTAATACAGGATTTGGCTCTGCTTTGAACATTGAAACACTAGTTGCTGCTGCTGAGAGGAGAGAGAAGCCAGTAGAGGTATTTAATGACTATTGTTGTCTCCCGTTCAATTTCTTTCTGGAAAATTGTTTTTACTTTTTTAATCGACATGCATGTCATTGTTTTATGTTTCCTGCTCCTGCAATGAATGCCACTGGAATAATTAAAATTCATACTTCATAGATGATGTTATCTATCTGAACCGTATATAATTTTGGCTTGGGCTGGTTGATTTGAAAGAAAATGATTTAGAATATGCTATGATGAAAGTGTCACAGATATTGAGTTAGTAATTAATTCCAATCTGGTATGGTTATTTGAATTTTTGGATTTTGGACCATTGATATGCTTCTCTGCCTTGCTCAGGCTACCATAGTCTGAAGGTAAAGATGGAATGAGCAAATGGGTGGAACAAGGAGACTGCATCCCTATTTCCTTGTTTTGTAGAGGACAGGGTAGAGCAAGTAGTGAGTTTATGTGATGTTATCATTTTACCCTGGGTTAAATTGTTAAAATAAAATTTGAGGAGAATAGGGGACCGTGTTAAGAGGAATATTTTGACTCTCAAATGCTCCCAAGTGGAGGGTGTCTAAGGCGTGATTGGCTGAAGGGATTTAGTTCACCTCCACATGCTTTCCCTCCCTTCAAAAACTCCCAAACAAGCTAAACCCTTTGTTCTAGTTCCCTTCCATTAAAACAGACTATTAATCCACCCAATGATGATCATGGAATGTTGAATTTTGCTTCACTAAAATGTTCCTTTGGTTCATAATCCTTCTATTTCTTTCTGATATATTTGCAGGCTCCTGCATCTGAGATTCAGGACAAGATATCATTTATAATCAATAATATTTCGGTTGCAAATCTTGAAGCAAAGGGGAAAGAGTTCACCGAAATATTGAAAGAACAATACTATACTTGGTTTGCCCAGTACATGGTTATGAAAAGGTCAAACTTGATACCTTCTTGAACATAAATGTTAATGTCTCTTTCAGACTTTCTGTGTGCATGCTGTTGATATTTCAACTGAACTGTGTTCTCATTTTATTTCCTGCTTATCTTTTTTGTAATATTCATTTCATTTATTTTTATTTCAGAGCAAGCATTGAGCCAAATTTTCATGATTTGTATTTGAAGTTCCTTGACAAAGTTAATTTGAAGGCTTTGACCAAAGAGATCATCCAGGCTACGTATGAGAACTGCAAGGTTTCTATTGTTCATTTCATTTATCCATGCAGAATTATTTGATCATGTAACCGAAAAAAAATTCATTTTCTCGTATGTTTTTTAGGTTTTGTTGGGGTCAGAGCTTATTAAATCAAGCTCAGAAGAGCGGTCATTGTTAAAAAATTTGGGTAGTTGGCTTGGGAAGTTGACAATTGGCCGGAATCAAGTTCTGAGAGCTCGTGAAATAGATCCCAAATCTCTGATTATAGAGGTATTTGTTCCCTAAGTTTAAACTTTTATCTGAGTATACACGCTGTGGATTCAGTTTTTTATATGTCCATTAAGCACTATCTGGTCTAGTAATGACCTATCAGTTATTTTGAACTTATGCTTTTATATTTGCTTTTTTCCAGGCGTATGAAAAGGGGTTAATGATTGCAGTTATCCCATTTACTTCAAAGGTATGGCTATTTATGAAATTAATGTGTTTTCTTGTGCTGAACTTAAGTTGGTATTTTCATAATTTTTTTAAATTTTGCAGATTCTTGAGCCATGTCAAAACAGTCTGGCATACCAACCCCCAAATCCCTGGACCATGGGCATTCTGGCTTTGCTAGCTGAGATTTACTCAATGCCGAACTTAAAAATGAATCTCAAGTTTGACATAGAGGTATTGTCATATATTTTAAGCATGCATATTTTTTTTTTATAGGAATTAAAGGCCTCATTAAAAACCCCCTTCTTGATTGAAGGAGCTTGTAGAGAAGCTCCTTAATCAGCGGAAGAGGGAAAAGAGTGCCTTAAGATTATATTAACCATAATAAAATACATAAGATACAGCCAAGGGACTTCCCCAAAATAACCAAAAACAAAAACACTATCCAAACAGCCCTGTACAACTCTACAACGACCTCTACTCTGGCTGGCCTGTAACCGAACTAGCAACGCTACTACTGAAGCTTGATAATATTTTAATTTATCTGCCTTTTTCTCTTTGGTATTGTAGGTTCTATTCAAGAATCTTAGTGTGGATATGAAGGACATTACACCAACTTGTCTCCTCAAGGATCGTAAAAGAGAACTTGAGGGCAACCCGGATTTCTCTAATAAAGATGTTGGGGCATCCCAAGCCTCAATGGTTGCAGAAAAATCTGGAATGGTTCCTCCTCTTAGTCATGCTGATTTATCTCTTGAGGGTGCTAGTCCACCTAATTCTGGTGGGCCTACACAATTGCCATCTCAGGTTTGGTTTTGTTTTGTAGCAGTTGCTGCTGTTTTTTTGTGGCTATTGGCATTAGCAGTTAATTACATGCGTTAAATTTTTATTTCTTGGAGTTGTTTTAGTATGCTGGCCCCTTGCGACTTTCTTCTGGTGCATTAACGGAGGATGAGAAACTGGCAGCTTTAGGCTTGTCTGACCAGCTTCCTTCTGCGCAAGGGCTATTTCAAGCCACTCCATCGCAGTCACCTTTTTCTGTTAGTCAGGCATGATCATTTTTTGTTTTCATTATTTGATTAAGAATTGTAACATTTTAGATTGTTGATCCTCGTCGTCTTTGCAGCTGTCCGCGTCAATTCCTAACATTGGAACTCACATTATTATCAATCAGAAGCTCAGTTCTCTAGGCTTGCACTTGCCTTTCCAGAGGTTTTATGCTGTTTCCTTATTGCTTCCTGATTGTTTACTACATTGTTTGTTGCCTTGGTGATGAACTTTACATATAATGTGCTGCAGGGTAGTTCCAATGTCAATGGACAGAGCTATCAAAGAGATTGTAGCTGGTATTGTTCAGCGCAGTGTTTCTATAGCAACTCAAACAACAAAGGAGCTTGTTTTAAAGGTATGAAGGGTCAAGCCAATAAAGCTTCAAATCCAAACACATTTAACTTGATTCAGTTCATTTCATCAAGGCAATTAGCTTAACATTTTTTGGTCTCCAAAATAGCTCCACTGTTTTTTGCTTATTTTTAAGAAATGTATTCTTCTACTGTAACTTTTCATTATTTTCTAGTATTTCTTCGTATTGGAGTTCAATTTGTTTTTCTTTTGTATTCATATAAAGCTTTTGTTTCTTCTCCCAATCATTGGATATCTTTTCTTTCAAATTTCTCTGTTCGTATGATTTAGAATTTTCTTCTTTAAGTTATAGGGAAATCCATGCATCTTTCTGAAATGCTTGGGAATCATCTAGGAATGATTACAACTACCTTTTTGAACAAGACATTCAACCACTATTCTCTGTCTTTAACCATTTCAATCATATTCAATTTAGGATTATGCTATGGAATCGGATGAGACACGGATCTATAATGCAGCACACTTGATGGTTGCAAGTTTGGCTGGAAGTCTAGCACATGTGACATGCAAGGTTTTATCCCACATCTTGTACTTTCTTTTATTCTATACCTTGTTAACTGTATCATATGGTTTTCATCTCTTGTTTTGGTGTTCTAGGAACCTTTACGAGGCTCTATATCAAGTCATCTGAGGAGTTCACTTCAGGGATTGAGCATTGGCAGTGATCTTCTAGAGCAAGCTGTTCAGCTTGTTACCAATGATAACCTTGATCTTGGTTGTGCGGTGATTGAACAGGCCGCTACAGATAAGGTCAGATTGTTTCCTTTGGTCAATATTACTTTGTGCACACATGTTTCACTGAGCTAAATGCTAAGTATTGCAAATGGGCATGGTCTGAATTTCATGGATTGACTCCTAACTTGATTCTTAAGTTGTTTTTTTTTTAAATCTCTATGAATTTCTTGGATTTGGTTCACAAGTAGGGTGCTTAGTGACTAAATGCACCTATGAAAACAAGGTTTTTCATGCAGGACTTAAGTTGCCATGGACCTTCTGTGACGCACTGTTTATTCAGATTTCGGTCTCTAGGCTTCCTTCTCCATAGTAATGCGTTATTCATGTTGTAGTTTTGTCTGCATGGATGGAGTTTTGTTCTGTGTAAAGGCGGGATTTTATAAAATTGGCATTTGGTGATTGCATTTTGGCTAATCTTGTATTCTTCTTGGTTCTAACTCTATACTTTTCCCTCTCGGCTTTAATATATAGGCAATACAAACTATTGATGGAGAGATAGCTACCCAACTTGCTTTAAGAAGAAAGCATAGGGATCCCACATTTTTTGATCCAAACATGTATGGTCAAGGTTCTGTGGGTGTTGTGCCTGAAGCTCTTCGACCTAAACCAGGCCACTTGTCTCTCTCTCAACAGCGAGTTTATGAGGTAGTCTTGATTAACCATTTGAACAAAGACTGCTTTGTTTTCGAGAAGGCACTGAGAGTTGCTCCTTCATGCTTGTTTGTCCTCTTTATCTTTTAGGACTTTGTTCGGCTTCCTTGGCAAAATCAATCCGGCCAGAGTTCGCATGCTATATCTGCCAGTCCTTCAAGTTTATCTGGCGATGCTGGTCTCACTGCCACATTTGGTTCAACATCAGGGCAAGTGACTCCTGGTTACACATCTGTCCCAGGGAACTTGGGACAATTGGATGTTGCTTCTGAGGCAATTGAAACTACGTCGGGTGCCCTTTTGAGGTATTCCTTTTTTAAAATGAAACTTTTGTCCTTTTGAATTTTTTCTTTTATTTTTGGTTTCCTTGCTGATAATTTCTTTTTATTTTATTTCAGTGCTTCCTCAATCCATATTGGCACAGTAGCTGCTCTTACCCAACAGACTACTGAAAATGATCCCCTCGATGCTTCATTCCCTTCAACAACTGGTTCCCCTGAATTACACTCAGTGGATACCACTGATGCTGTAAAAGTAAGGGACTTAATATTGATGGATTTTTGTACTGTTAGAATCTTGCTTTTTTATTGACACATGCTCCCGATTTGTTGCTAGGAATTGGGACCTACATCACAGCCGGTACCTTTATCTGCTGCCACTGAGCGTCTTGGAAATAGCATATCGGAGGCTTCACTGAGCACAAGGGATGCAATGGATAAATATCAGATAGTTGCTCTGAAGGTTGAGTGGAACTCCTCCATTATTTTTGTTTCTTTTGCTATTTGTTCTGTTATCTTTTGGGACCCGGGAAAATTTGGTCAGATCAATGAATTTGGTGTCTGACTAAAACAAGCGAGTAACATGTCTTGGTGAAAATGTTGTCACTTCATAATCCTCTTCTGCCTGTATTTTCACTATCCGGCTGTTGTGGTTGATGTGCCCTATCATCTACATTCTACAAATATCTTAATTGTTTACAACTGTTGAATCTCCTCTCAAGGAAGACTGGCATGAAACTGGGAACATGGTTTCTCACAAGAGATGAGAGGACACCTCTTAGGCTATTATTTCAATTCATCTTATTCTTCTGCTCTTACTACTTGAGACTTCTATTTATTAAAAAATAATGTCTTGTCAAAATATGTTTCTCTTTTTCAAATAATTTCAGTTGGAAAGTTTGGTGGCAACTGATGGTAGAGAAGCTGACATCCAGGTATATTAAACTTTAGTCTACTATTTTATTTTATTTATATATTGATGATGGAATTTCTTTTTTGTTCGGTTATATTATTTGAGCAATGTTTTAACGCTTGACATTTTTGTTTTAGGGACTGATCTCTGAGGTACCTGAAATCATACTCAGATGTATAAGTAGGGACGAGGCTGCACTGGCTGTGGCTCAAAAGGTGTTATATTAATTGTTGGGTTAAATATTATCTTTTGCTTGTCTCTTTATATTGGGAGTTTTGCTGATTTTGTTTCTCGATGCATATGCAGGTTTTCAAAGGCTTATATGAGAATGCATCCAATAGTCTTCATGTCAGTGCCCATCTTTCTATTCTGTCTGCTGTCCGTGATGTTTGCAAGCTTGCTGTTAAAGAGCTTACTAGTTGGGTATGATCTGTTCCGCATTTCGAAGTTCTCTTTTTTCCTTGGTGTATAAAACAGCCAAGTTGCATTGTTTGCTTGTTAATGTTGGTTATGAGATTCCATTAGCTTCATTGCTTGTGATTCCAAACTTTTTTATTTGTAAAGAGAATTCAAGAACTGCCATAAAAGTTGTGTTTTCGTTGCTATTCTCATGCTGTTCTTAGGACTTTATTTAAATGGATTAAGTGGTGAATTCTTGCTAATTTTTGCTATGGTATTCTGCATAGGCCCCTTGCTGGCTTATATGTTTGGAATTCATCTCTCAATCTGTGTTGGTTGTTGAATATTTCTCTTACAGGTGATATATTCAGACGAGGAGCGAAAATTCAACAAAGAAATCACTGTTGGTCTTATTCGAAGTGAATTGCTGAATCTTGCGGAGTACAACGTTCATATGGCAAAACTTATTGATGGGGGAAGGAATAGTATGTATACAAATAATTTCATCTTCACTGAATTTATTTCTGCAAGACATAAGTCGTCTAATCAAGTTAAACATGCAGAAGCTGCTATGGAATTTGCAATATCGCTTCTTCAAACTTTGGTTACTGATGAATCCAGAGTTATCTCAGAATTCCACAATCTTGTTGATGCGTTGGCAAAGGTTGATCTCATCATTGTCTTTTGCTTCTTTCTCACCCCCTCCCCCCTTTTTGATTGTTTTGGTATGAACTTGTTATGCACATGCAGGTTGCTTCAAGACCTGGATATCCTGAATCATTGCAACATTTGATTGAGATGGTCAGAAATCCTTCTTCAAGTATGGCTGTTTTATCCACTGCCTCTGATGGAAAGGAGGATAAGGCTAGGCAGTCTAGAGACAAGAAGGTCACTGGGTCATATTTTCCCATTTAATTCTCAAGTATACTAATCTTGTGTCTGACCTCAGATCTTTCTCTTCAAGCAGGCACCTGGTCTTGCCCCAGCTAACAGGGAAGATAATAGTAATATAGAGGCACTAGAACCAGACCCTGCCGGCTTCAAGGAGCAGGTGACTATTTATTTCAAAATCTAAGAAGGAATTATTAGTCTGCTTTGTGCATATTATAGATTTCGCTACTAATCTCTATGGGAAAATATCATAGTGTTGTACTGATAAATCTAGGATTATTTTAAGGGTGTTTAGAAAAATGATGTCATATATATAAACCTACCTGTATTGATTAACAAAAATTCCCGTTAAAAGCTCATATAGTTGTATCTGACCAATGTATGAATGTGCTGATGCAAGTAAACCTTCCTGCAATGCTGCACTATCCCTATTGGCATACTCAAGCCTTCTCTCTCTCTAATGGCACTCCTTTTTGCTGTGCCCTGTCTAACCCATCTTATCTTGTTTTCTCCTGCATGGAAGGAAAAGTGGGATATCCCTTAATCCTTGTGTTAACTTCCTTTCTAAATATTTTGTAGGTTTCCATGTTGTTTGCAGAATGGTGCCAGATATATGAGCATCCTGGAGCAAATGATGGGCCTTGTAATCATTTCATTGTACAATTGCATCAAAATGGACTGCTTAAAGGGGATGATATGACAGAGCGCTTTTTCCGTAATATCACGGTGAATTCCTCCTTGCCTATCCTTTTCCTCCTTGTTACATCTAAATTCACCAGAGAACACTGTAGACTGAAATTAATCTTTTGTTTTTCCTTCATGCTAGGAACTCTCTGTTGCATATTGCCTATCTACCGAAGGCATGAGTTCTGGCACGATGCAGTCACCTCAGCAAGTGCAAACTCTCTCGTTCCTTGCCATTGATATTTATGCAAAACTTGTGCTGTCAATCCTTAAGGTCTTACTATATCATTTTTTAATCATATCAATATAATCTCTTTTCATTATGTACCTATCCTTTCAAATGTTTTAACTTGGACTTTTTTTTTGCAATTTCTTTAGTATTGCCCAGTGGAACAGGGATTAAGTAAACTATTTCTTTTGTCCAAGGTAAATATTATTTACATTTTGTTTGTATCTATTTGATTTGCTGGGATTTTAACGATAATATTGATGGTGCTGAACAGATTTTGACTGTCACTGTGAAAGTTATTCAAAAAGAGGCAGAGGATAAGAAAGCATCTTTTAATCCAAGACCATATTTCAGATTATTTATTAACTGGATGTTAGATCTCGGCTCCTTGGACCCTGTCCCTGATGGTGTGAATTTTCAGGTACGATTCATTTGCTTATTCTTAGCCAAGAATGTTAGCCATTGAGTAGCCTAATTCTCGTGTTTCTTGCAGATTTTGACAGCCTTTGCCAATGCTTTTCATGCTCTGCATCCCCTTAAAGTTCCTGCTTTCAGGTGAGAATTGCGAGTTCATGTAGTTTTTAATTTATGCAGGATTTCTTGTTTTTTGAATGTGCTGCCTCTTCTTGAAAAACATCATTTATGATACAATTATGAGTCATGAGTAAAAGATTTTCCCTGTAAAGGGTGGGTTTAGTTACGGTCATATTCTTACTATCTTGTAAAGACGGAAAAAACTTGTTCCGAATAAATCGTGTTTATTTCTGCTGAATATGGCTGACTTAAATAGAGTTTACAATGTAACAACTTTACATAAAAAGATGCATAAAATTAGCAACAGAATAAAAATGATTCTATCTAATTAAAAATGATCCTATCTAATAACTAATAGAATAAAAGACTGATTCTATCTAATTAAAAATGATCATATCTAATAACTAATAGAATAAAAACTGATTCTATCTAATTAAAACTGATCCTATCTAATATTTAATTTAGATATTCTCGACACCCCCCCTCAAGCTGGAGAATAGATATCGATCATTCCTAGCTTGGACAGAAATCCTTCGAACATCATAGTAAACAGTCCCTTGGTGAGAACATCGGCGAGCTGCTCTGATGATGGAACAAACGGTATGCAGATATCGCCATTTTCCAGCCTCTCCTTGATGAAATGTCGATCTATTTCGACATGTTTGGTTATGTCATGATGTACAGGATTCTGAGCAATACTGATTGGCGATTTGTTGTCGCAATACAACTTCATCGGTTTATCTCCTTCAACCTTCAGCTCCTCCAAGATCCTCCTAAGCCATAACAACTCACATACTCCTTGCGCCATGGCTCTGAACTCGGCCTCCGCACTGCTTCTAGAGACAACTGGTTGCTTCTTGCTCCTCCAAGTAACTAAGTTGCCCCAGACAAAGGAGCAATAACCGACAGTAGATCTTCTGTCTGTAGAACTTCCGCCCCAATCAGCATCAGTGAAGATCTCCACTCTTCGACTTCCATTCTTCGAAAACATGATTCTTTTACCAGGACTCCCTTTCAAGTAATGAAGAATCCGGTAAACAGCCTTGGAGTGTTTTTCTGAGGGACAATGCATAAACTGACTAACCAAGCTCACAGCAAATGCAATATCTGGTCTCGTATGAGCCAAATAAATCAGTTTCCCCACCAGTTTCTGATACCGATTCTTGTCCACAGGCTCAGCACCATCTTATTTTTCGAGTTTTTGATTCGGATCAATAAGAGTCGCCACTGGTTTACATCCGAGTAATCCGGTCTCTTTCAAGATATCGAGGACATATTTCCTTTGCGAGATAATTATACCTTTTGAGGATCTAGCCACCTCCATTCCAAGGAAATATTTGAGTTGTCCTAGATCCTTGACTTCAAACTGGTTGGATAAGTTCTTCAACGACTCCAACTCTACTGTGTCATCTCCTGTCATAACAATGTCATCTACATACACAATTAAAATAGCAATTTTACCATTATTGTGTTTGTAGAACATAGTATGATCAGACTGGGCCTGAGTGTAACCATGTTGTTTCACAGCTCTCATGAATCTCTCGAACCAGGCTCTCGGAGATTGTTTCAATCCATAAATGGATTTCTTTAGCTTGCAGACCCTACCATCCTTCTTCAATTCATCAAAGCCTGGAGGAACTTCCATAAACACCTCTTCCTCTAGCTCACCGTTTAGGAACGCATTCTTCACATCAAACTGTCTGAGAGTCCAATCCAGACTGGCGGCTAGTGAGAATAGGACACGTACGGTGTTTAGTTTGGCCACAGGTGCAAAGGTCTCCTCGTAGTCAAGGCCGTATGTCTGAGTGAAGCCTCGTGCTATGAGTCTTGCCTTGTATCTCTCGACCGAGCCATCTGCATGGTATTTGATGGTGAACACCCACTTGCTGCCTACAGATCGTTTCCCCTCAGGTAAAGGAGTTAGATCTCACGTGTCATTCTTCTTCAGGGCCTTTAACTCCTCAAAACTGCCTCTCTCAAAAACTGCCTCTCTCCATCTCGGAACTTCTAGAGCTTCATGTATCGACTTAGGTAGTGCATCATCCATAATCCTGGTGGAAAAAGCTTTGAAATCTGGAGAGAGTTTATTATAAGATAAGAAATTGGATATTGGATGTTTTGTGGTACATGATCTAACACCTTTGCGCAAGGCTATGAGTTCAAAGAATTCTGTAGAAGGCTCTAAATTTGGAGAAGAAATAGGAGAAAGAGAAGTCGTACCTTGGACCATAGTCGAGTCCGATGGTTGGCATACCTTGGGGGCCGATGGAACATTACTTGGTCGAGTCATCCGTCTAGAATAAACACGAAGTTCAGTAGGTGGTTCCAAGTTGGTTTCTACCTGAGTCTCACGAGGTTGTGAATTTATAGGTTGTGAAATCCTAGGATTAGTTACGGAAATATGAATTGGTTCCACTGAGCTATTTACAACCAAACTCACATAATACTTCCCCGGAAGAGAGTTTTTGTCAAACAAAAGTTTTTCAAAAAACGTAACATCCAAACTCACATAATACTTCCCAGATTTAGGATCAAAGCATTTATACCCTTTTTGTGTTGGTGAAAAACCTAGAAATATGCATTTATGTGCTCGGGGATCGAGTTTTCCTCTATTTTGGCCGTGTATATGAACAAAAGCAATGCAACCAAACATTTTAGGTGTTAAATCAGTGAAAGATCTATTTTCAGGAAACATATTCTTTAGAGCTTGCAAAGGAGTAATATAATTAAGAACTCTTGTAGGCATTCGATTTATCAAATAAGACGCTGTTAAGAGTGCTTCATTCCAAAAACGATTAGGAACATTCATAGCAAACAGTAAAGCCCTAGTCACCTCTAATAAATGCCTATTTTTTCTTTCAGTATTTCCATTTTGTTGGGGAGTATCAACGCAAGAACTGTGATGAATAATTCCTTTTTGTTTCAAAAAATCACCTAAGATTGCATTAAAATATTCTCGACCATTATCGGTTCTAAGAACTTGAATATTTGCTTGAAACTGAGTATTGATCAGTGAGTGAAAATTTTTGAAAACACTTGCTGCTTCGGATTTTTCTTTTAGTAAATAAATCCACGTGACTCTAGTGTGATCATCAATGAATGTGATGAACCATCTAGACCCTGAGGCTATTTTTACTCGTGAAGGGCCCCAAATATCACTATGCACAAGAGAAAAAGGTTTTGATGGCATATACTTTAAAGATGGATAAACAAATCTTATGATGTTTTGCCAATTCACAAGCTTCACACTGAAAAGAAAAACCGTCTTTTTTGAAAAGATTTGGAAACAAATATTTCAAGTAATTAAAACTAGGATGGCCTAACCTATAATGCCACAACATTATTTCATTCTCACAAGACAAGGTAGTAAAGCATCTCGGTTTCTGAACTTGTTTATCTGAAGGATTGTCCGTGACCAAGTGATAGAGTCCATCAACCTCCTTAGCATTGCCAATCATCTTCCCCGAACAAAGGTCCTGAAATTCAAATCCAACAAATGTTATTGTAGCAATGCATTTGCAATCATGAATAATACGATTAACAGAGATGAGATTGCAAGAGAGCTTTGGGACATGTAGGACATTTAGTAATGTGAGAGATGGAGAAATAATGATAGAGCCTTTTCCAGCTATAGAGGTTAGGGAGCCATCAACAATTTTTACCTTCAGATTACCAGATAAAGGAAAATAAGATGAGAATATGGAGGAATTATCGGCAATGTGATATGTTGCCCCTGAATCTATGATCCAAGGGTTTGATTTAGAACCGGCTATGAAAGCTGTAGGATATGTACCTTTCTGGGCTAATGATGAAGAGGCAATATAAGATGATGGGTTAGGAGTGTTGGATATGGAATGAGAACTTATTAGTTGATACAATTGCTCTAGCTGTTCTTTGCTGAAGGCAGACAGTTCTGAGGCAGGTTTCGGCTCTTCAGAAGCATCTTCAGATGAGGCATGGAATCCCTTTGCATTACGAGAATTTCGATTGGCTGAAAAATTTTTGGCTGGCTTCCCGTGTAGCTTCCAACACTTGGCTTTAGTGTGTCCCGGCTTGTTGCAGTGCTCGCAGATTGATCGATCTCTGTCGTTCCGACGATCGTTGCGACGTGGTGGCTGACCTGAGAACAAGGCAGAAGACTCGGTGGGATTTGGTGAGTGGCATCCAAGCATGACTGTCCGCCGGCTCTCCTCTCGTCTGACTTCGTAGAAGACTTCTCTTGTGCTTGGTAGTGGTTCACGACCAAGAATGCGCCCTCTGACTTCATCCAATTCCTTGTTAAGGCCGACAAGGAATTCGAAGACGCGTTCTTTTTCCACCATCTTCTGGAATAGAGCCCTGTCCTTAGCACAACTCCATTCGTAGTCGCTGAACATGTCAACCTCTTGCCACAAGGTCTTGAGTTCAGTGTAGTATTGAGTGATAGTTTTTTCTCCTTGTTTTAGCCTCCATAACCGAGTTTTTAGTTCAAACTATTGTCCTACGTTCCCGAGATCAGAATAGGTCTCGTTCACAGCATTCCAAATGTCATGAGCAGTAGGTAGGAAGGGATAAGTTCTCCTTACACTCGGATCCATGGAATTTATGAGCCAAGACATAATCATCGAGTTTTCTGCCTCCCATCTTTCAGATTCTTCATCTTCTTCGGCAGGTTTCGTAGTGGTACCTGAGAGATAGCCGAATTTTTCACTGCCACGAATAAATAGTTTCACAGATTGTGACCACTGTAAGAAATTATTTCCATTCAACATGTGAGAAGTGATAGATATGTTTTGGAAGGATTCAGTGTTTAGGGTGATTGAAGGTGAGCGAGTAGAACTCATAGAGTCGATACTAGAGGTATCATCGTAGGGTTTGGCCATTTTTTGGCTCTGATACCATAAAGTCGGAAAAAACTTGTTCCGAATAAATCATGTTTATTTCTGCTGAATATGGCTGACTTAAATAGAGTTTACAATGTAACAACTTTACATAAAAAGATGCATAAAATTAGCAATAGAATAAAAATGATTCTATCTAATTAAAAATGATCTTATCTAATAACTAATAGAATAAAAGACTGATTCTATTTAATTAAAAATGATCCTATCTAATAACTAATAGAATAAAAACTGATTCTATCTAATTAAAACTGATCCTATCTAATATTTAATTTAGATATTCTCGACATCTTGGATAAGTCTTGCTGAAGTGCCTAGAGTGAGTTGGCTTAATTTAATAGGGTTTGTGATAAATACGTGTTTTGGGTTAAATTTAACCGGTATATGCAAATTTGGAGGTATGAAACAAATTTAAATTAAATGCTTCTGTTACTGTTTTATTTATCACGTATCATTCGATGTATCGTAACTATCTATGCAAAATATGGTTACCCGGATGTGTTTATGCACGTTCCTATTCGCATAAACCTTGCTTTTTGTTAATGTTTTAAGGTTCATTTGAATGAAGATTATCCTGAGAATTGCATCCAGTAGATTGAAGTTGGAAAAGCAATAACTTATTGAGCATCAATATTTGGCATTAAATTTACGATCTGGTTGATGCTATTTGTCAGTCTTGTTGCTTATCTTTGTTCCATACTGCTTTTATAGCTTTGCGTGGCTGGAGCTAGTCAGTCACAGGAGTTTCATGCCAAAATTGCTCACTGGACATGCTCAGAAGGGTTGGCCCTATATCCAACGGTTGCTGGTAGACTTGCTTCAGTTCCTGGAGCCTTTTTTGAGGAATGCTGAGCTCGGAGGGCCGGTTTGCCTCTTTCAAATACTGATTTCATTATTTCTGTCCATTATAAATAAGTTATGCTGATCCTCCTCATTCTCTGTTGCATTATATCTATTTAGGTTCATTTCCTCTATAAAGGCACACTAAGGGTCCTGCTAGTTCTTCTTCACGACTTTCCTGAGTTCCTGTGTGATTGTCATTTTACCTTTTGTGATGTGATTCCTCCGAGCTGCATACAGATGCGGAACATTATCCTTAGTGCTTTTCCTCGCAATATGAGGTTACCAGATCCATCTACTCCCAATTTAAAGGTATCAGTCTTCATGCTTGATCTTTTTCCCTCTTCAGATTATATAATCAATGAAATTAATTCTGCAATCATTTGTGCAGATTGATTTGCTTCCAGAAATCAGAGAACCCCCTCGCATCCTCTCTGAGGTTGATGCTGCTCTTAAAGCAAAACAGATGAAGGCTGAAGTAGATGAGTATCTCAAGGTACTTGATGCACTTTAATTGTGTGCTGGAATTTATTAGCCTGTCTCTTACCCATCCCTAAACATTTTGGTTTCTTCATTGTTTACTTCGGCCAACTTTTCTTATCTTACATTTTCAGATTTGGGAACCAGTGTTCTCTTTTTTAAGTAACCCTTTTAAATTATTTGCTAAAAATCTTCTGAAAAATTCTCTTCAGATGAGGCCCCAAGGAGGATCTACATTTCTAACTGAACTGAAACAAAGACTACTCCTTTCACCTAGCGAGGCAGCATCAGCTGGTACCCGTTATAATGTACCATTGATCAACTCACTGGTGCTTTATGTTGGTATGCAGGTATGCTTCAGTTTCTTCCTCTTTACTAGGTGTTATTTTCACTCAGCAAATTTTCCTTTTTCCAGTTCAAGAAGTACTGCATGTGTAATTTTATTTTTAATTCTGTTTTTAAGCTCATCCTTAATTGGAATGGGTTTTTTTTTTTTTATGGAAGCCTTCTATAGGAACCGGGCAGAATATAGAATGACTTTGTTTCTACTAAGAATATTACCATCTGGCATTTAATGAGCAATTGTTGAAAACTGCTTTTAGGCCATTCAGCAACTGCAGTCAAGAGTACCTCATGGACAATCGACAGCAAGCACTGCTCCAATGAGTGTGTTTTTGGTTAGTGCGGCCTTGGATATATTCCAGACTCTAATAGCGGACCTTGATACTGAGGGGCGTTATCTGTTTCTCAATGCAATTGCTAACCAATTGCGATATCCAAACAACCATACACATTACTTCTCCTTCATCTTACTATACATGTTTGCCGAAGCGAATCAGGTAAGAATTTCTGTTTCATGATATTACATTATTGTTGCGTTTCATTTCAAATGGACAGAGGATAAACTATTGCCTTCAACAGGAAATAATCCAGGAGCAAATTACAAGAGTTTTGTTGGAACGGCTGATTGTTAATAAACCTCATCCTTGGGGTCTTCTAATTACCTTCATTGAGCTCATAAAGGTAAAATAATTTGATCCTGGATTCGACCTTAGTTTTTAGTTTTCTGTATGAAATATGCGTTGATAACTGTTGATGTTTGTATTTCAGAATCCAAGATACAACTTCTGGAATCGATCGTTCATTAGGTGTGCGCCTGAGATTGAAAAACTCTTTGAATCTGTTGCAAGGTCATGTGGGGGCCTGAAACCTGTGGACGAGGGTATGGTTTCTGGTTGGGTGTCTGATAGCGCACACTGACTAGTTTTTCCTTTTCTAATGCCATAATATACCGGAACTGTAGTTTTTAGAATATCAGGTATTATTTTTAGTTGTCCCCGTATGAAACTAGTTATTCCAGAGCACTGAAGTTCTTTTGATTGTTGTAAATGGCTTGCTTAGGGCCGGTAGTTATTACATACATTTTCGTGTATAAAATTTGTGAATTGAGCATCATGCAACTCAAGCCATTGAAGTTAAAGTTGGCTCTGTTATCGCCGATTCTTCATATGTAAAGCATTTCGGGTATAACTTGGTGATATTTAAGTCATTAAATCTATCTAAAAGTCAAGTGAGGTAAGAGTGTTTTACATGGGGCTTCTCTAGCCCAAAACAAATTTGAATAATAAAAATAATTTTAAATTCACTCTATAAAAATAATATAAGATGTATTTTTTTAATTACTATAGTAAAATGGGTCTGTTTTGATATAGTAGCGGACTAGCTATTTATAATTTTTGTAAAATCCGAACCTTAATGTTGATATTTGGATATTGTGAAAAGCTATTTTTCAAATATGTATTTTTTTAAATAAGAGCGATTGCAACATGTGAATCTTCAAATATGTTAATTTTTTAACGTTTCTTAATATTGGATATAAAATATTATTTTAATGTATAATATCCTTTTTCTTTAGAAAAAGAATCGAGTATTTACAAAAGCCTAAAATATTGACCCGCCTATCAAATATAAAATTACAGATTAGATTAGTCATATAATTCGAGATACCCGTGATATAGAAAACATCTATTTATTTATTCATTTCATATTGGATTATTTGAATATATATATATATATATTAGTTGTTAATTTTACTAGAAAAGAAAAATTAAGAAGAGAGATTTATAATTGCAATAAAAATTTATAATCATAATTGTAATTAGGATTTTTTTATAATAATTGATATAAAAAAAACAAGTTATTTAAGATTACATAAATATCATATAAAGAAAATATAAACATGATAATAAATAAGTGTTATCGTGATCAGTTGAGGTGATTGATAGATTCAATTCTGAGGAAAAAAAATTGTACAATAAACATGAGTTAAACGATAGGCAATGTGTTATGATGCTAGAGGATAATTGGGGGGGGGGGAATGGGGGAGAAATTAGGGTTCATCGAAGAGAAGGCATAATTAAAGATTGAGATAATTGGGAATTATGAAGAAGATGGTAAAGTCAATGGGAATCTGGAAGGAACGACTACGTTGTGATGGATGAGCAAAACGGTGCTTAAAAGGATTAGAGCAGATAACTATACAATGAAGCAGGCCACAATTCTGGAAGGACCCAAGCCCAATGATGGCGTAGGAGATCCTTAGCAGCAACGGTAGTAGTTAGGGCCTACAGCTGGCAGTAATCACCATAGTAATAAAATGCAAAATATGCTGATGTACTGGGTATCTATGAAAAATCAATGAAATTTTGAATGTCTTCGTTCCTTTCTTCTGCTTGTAAAACCCTTTCTATCTTCAACCATAACATAATGAAGATCGAAAATATATCATTAAGATAGAGGAATATGTTATAAAGATATAAGAATTAAAAAATTTAAAAATAAGGATATGATGAAAAAAAAATACTGACAGCGACAATTATCATCAAGTTGTATATCTCCTCATACCCATTAAAGATGAAAAAACATATTAGCGGCGTGTTGGGTCTTTTTCAGGCGAGAGAAGCAAGCTCCCATGGGATTTCCCGTGACTCAAATGTTTTTCAATGGTTTTTAAATTTAAAAATAGCAAGAAACTTGTTTGAAATATTTATGCCTTTTAATATAAATAAGAAAAATAATTAAATTAATCATTAAACTTACGCATACTAAAAGCTATTTCCAATTTCAATGATAAAGAAAAATACCATTCTATGTGGAAAATATAAATTTACCTTTTATTTTATTTTATCGGCGCGATCAAAGTACAGAATAGAATTTCGTTCAAAGAAAGAGATTAAAGAATAGAATTGCGGTGCTCAGGTAGTATATCTGAATGGCCTTAATAATTCGAGCTCAGATCGAACATAAATAATCCTGTTCGAACTCGGCTTATATTTTACTAGATATTGTGGATGATAATGCGCAAATAATTGTACTTGTAAGCTATTCGAATTGTGTCCTGAAAGAAGTTGAATTCAGAACTATGATTCTCAATCAAGCTACTCAGGGAGCCGTATTCGAGTATATTAATGCTTCGACTCGAGTAGCTCCTGACTCTACTAGGTGTGTTTTTTTCCAATTAATATTGGATAAACTGAATATGAACTACAGCCAGCTCAAGCATAAATAATCCAAGTTGAAATTGAGTATGAGAAGCTAGTATCTATCAAACCGCTATATGAATTGCATTTTGGGATTGTTTCTATTTTCCATAATTAAGAGAAGTTGGGGGTAATCAAATCCAGAAATAAGGAAAACTGAAAACCACAACAATGTAGATTGGTTTGCTACGCACTTGGAAGACTTCCTAATCCTTACGAACAAAATATAACTTGCCCATAACATGGAGAATAGCAACAAATGCAATGAAACCGATGCTCATGACAAGCACCACGTTTGGCGAGATCTTCAGTCCCGGAGCATCATCTGTGTAAAACTGAAGCATAGTCCCAGCAGCACCTCCTGAGGCACCCCCACCACTTGTTGTTCTCCTCCTGCGCAGGCTTGCTGCAGCCGCCGCACTTCCTCTTGGTGGGGCTGTTCCGGTTGCCATTTCTGTCAACAACCAACAAACTTCACGACTTTTGGTTTTTAAAAACATTACACACACAGTCTCAATTAGTGTTATACACTTCTTGATAAGAGCATTGGTGAAGACCGGCTGCCAATACCCGGCAGAGGGATACCCTAATATAAATCTTGCGTCTGTCCCTCTGCTGCGGGAACATCCTCAGCTATATCAGGGGACGAATTTTATAAAATTTTAGAGGGCAAAACCCATAAGGATTTCTGATAAGAACTACAAATAATAACTACGAAAAAAAGCCAGATGGGAACAAGCTTTAGAGACATGGCTAAAATACAAAGCTCCCCAGTGAATTATTAACCTATATAGATAGAATGATGTAAATAACCTGGTTGATTGGAACCAAATAATTTTTGTACTAAATCTTTATACTCCAACCTAAATCGAACAACAAGATTCCCAGCCACCAAATTTGAAGATTTGATCAAATCACAATGTAATTCAGTTCAAAGTGTTCAAGCATGCGCTAAATCCTACTTAACTACAAATCTATAATGCGCAAAGAATTTCAGGAAGCGATATATAAAAGCGAAGTAAAAGAATCAAATCGGAGAAAGTAGATCTAAATTCAAGTAATCCATAGGATGGATATATCGGAGTAGAAGACAAAACAAAAGATGAAGACATCACCTAAACGAACGAATCTATTAAAGGATCTAATGTAAGGAGAAGAAGAACTCACCTGTGTCGACTCGGAATTCAGATCGTGATTTGGAAGCAAGGTTTAGGAGACGCCTCCGTATGCTCTGTTCAATATCTTTCCTTTTGACTATACCTTCGTTTTAATGCCGACTGATGGGCCTTCCACGCAGCACTTACCAATCAGGATTAGCCACGTCATCATTTTTGAGACCCAAACAAAGTAACAATCAAACTTGCCTGTCTACTCGTTGATCTCTTTGGGCTTAAGTTGGCCCAATTTCAGAGCCTGAAAATTGTTATCATAGAATTAAATAGCGGACTGCTATTTAAATAGTCTGTTATATATTTATAAAAATATCGTTTGAAATTGTTATTTTGCAATTAGAATATCCGTAATGATTGTAATAATATTTTTGTTGTCATTATCACGATAAACAAAATTGAAAATACAGCCGTAATTATAATTTAAATCTCTAATTGTTATTGCACGAAATCATCATTGTATAATTTATTTTATTTTATTGATTTAATTTATATTATCGATGCAGTTCTAAAAACTACTTATGTTATTTTAAAAAAAACAAGTATAATTATAATATATGTTTATTTTATTATTTTTTCCCTAAGTTATAATTGTTTATGTTTATATTATTTTAATTATTAGGCTAATGATTGATATATATATATGAATTGAAAATTCAAATGTAATATTTATATAAAGACATATAATGCTAAAATTAGTCTCTCTTTGTGGGTTGCTTGGGTTAGAACCAGTATTGTGAAAGACGACGATGTGTGGAGTTTTCAACCTAAAGGGGAGGTTAGCTGGAGTTTACGAAAAAAATTATTTAGAAGGGGAGGCTGCTATCATTTTTAGTAATTTGGGTGGTCGTTTAGACGATTGTGGTATGAGACGGATTTGGGTTAAGCTCAAGGTTAAGGGAGCGAATGTCTCATGACATCGATTAGTTTGGTTCACTATATACGTTCCGAGCCATACTATTATTAAGTGGATGGCGCTACTTAACAGGCTGCCTACTCGTGATAGACTCCTATGTATGGGGATGCATGTAGTGGCGGATGCACTAAGCTCCCATAGAGATCAATGCATCCTCATTATTTTGAAAAAAATGGTTAAATTTAATTTAATGTGTTAAGAAAAAAAATAAAAAAATTAAAATTTTTGCATATCTATTATTTTTAAGAAAAGAAAATTAAAATTTTAGACCCCATTATTAAATTTCTGGATCTGCCATTGGATGCATGTGGCTGGGGTGTGTCTTTTGCATTAGCGCTGATGAGTCTCGTGCTCATGTGTTCTTTGGCTGCCCCTTTTCGGTTTCTATTTGGGAGACTATTTTGACCATGTGCAATGTCCATCGTCGGGTGCTTGTTTGGGAGCAGGAGGTCATCTGGATGTGCTCTCACGTGCGAGGTATGTCTGACTTGGCCACTTTTTTAGATTTGTTTAGAATGCTTTGATACTTTGTGTGGATCGAAAGGAATAGAAGATGCTTTGGAGATGTTAGATTGACTTGTGATTGTATATGGAGGTTGTGCAAGCTAACTTTTATGGAGAACTTAGGGATAGATTGAGCCCACAACTGTGTATTGATTGGGCGTGGGAAGGTGAGTTCCTTGGTTTTTGTTAGGTACTTTTGGGATTGTAATATTCTTTGCTTTGAATATAATATACACATTTTATCCTTAAAATTAGCTCCTCTGACATTTATTAAAATGATCATTTAGTTATATATTTTATTTTTTAGAACATTTTGACCCTCAACATTTTATTTTAAGATAAAATAACTCCTAACATTTAATAGAATAATCAGTTTGTTCCTTATTTTTGTTTGTGAATATTTTAGCTCTCAATGTTTCATTTTAGGTTAAAAAAGACTCGTATTTTAGAGCATTAATCATGTGTTAACGAATAGTTTTAATCTATATAGAGGAGTAATTTGCTCTAAAATAAAATGTTAAGGACTAGGATATTCTAAAAAAAATAGTTGCCAAAATGATTATCTTAATAAAAGTTGGAACTGTTTTTAACATTATGCCTTACATAGAATAAACATTAAACATTAAAAATTTAAATACTTCAACGTCACCATTCAATCAATATCCTATTTCCAACCATATCTGTTTGTTACGCCTCTTGTATTGCTAGATTTATGATGATTGTTTTTTTCCCCCAAGACTTACAACAGTTCAACTTCACACTTTTGGCGATATTATATGATTGGATTGCTGGGTGAAGGTAAATATCGATAGGGATGAATTATGGGGTTGGGGAGAAGAGATAATCGTATTTCGAAAATTTAAAATTATTATATATTTAAAATATTTTAAAATATTTTTTTATTAAAAAATATTTTTTTAAAATTTTTTAAATTCGTTATTTATTACAAATTTAATTTTTTAATGTAAAATCTTACTTTCATCTCTAAATATAATATAATTACAAATAAAAATTAATTATTTCAAATAAAACTTGAGAATTAGACTACTATTAAACCACGAGAGTTTTTTCCGTATATACAGAATAGATCTGTAGAGTTTTTTGCATGTGGAAGTGACACACGTGTAGAATTATTAGAAAGGCAAGCTGATCCTCTGCACCGCCAACAGATACACGTGTACAATAGATAAAGGGTACAGTTATCAGTTCTCTTACGGCCTCTTCCATTCCACATCCTTGAAACGGGGTCCCGCATTCTCACCTTACCGTTAAATGCTGCTTCCTCTACTTTATGGCTTTATCCCGCTCCACAATTCACTCCATATTTTTATTTTTGGTAAAGTACACTTTTAATACTCCAACTATATTTTTTGTTCTTTTTGATCACTAACTTGTTTTTTGTTTCAAAATCATACTTAACGTTATATTTTAATTTCATTTTGATCACACACCGTTAAAACAAAAATAGATATACTGATGTGATATTTTTTTAAAAAAATTCAATGATGACATGATATTATCTTATGATGATACGTCAGTATCACAGTTAATTTTTTAACGATGAGTGATCAAAATAAAATCAAAATACAATATTAGATATGAGTTTGAAATAAAAAATAGTTGAATGACTAAAATGAAACAAAAATTATAATTGGGGTACTAAACATGTAGTTTACTCTTTAATTTTCTTTAATTTTCTTTGGTTAGAGTAAATGAGATGTTAAAAATAGTTATTTTAAACTTTAAACTTTTAATAGTTATAAGATGATGATTAAATTTTTAAATAATTATAAAATGATCATTAAATTCTATGAAAAAATTATTCTATAAAATAATCATTAAATTTATTTAAATATTATACTAAATAATTATAATACTGCAGTGATTTTTTTTTTTAAAAATCTAACAGATTTAATTATTATTTTGTAAATTTTAAAAGTTTAATGATAAAAATGATTATTTTAAAATAGATCAACTCCTTGATGTACTTTACCCGTTTCTTTTGTAGTCTCCTTTCGGCCTCTTTTCCTGTAGTTGTCTCGGCCAGCAGAATATATTAAGCCAGCTATCTAGCCAGACTCAGTCCAGTTACCCACATCATATCATTTGGTTATTTATTTCAAGCATCGCTACCCTTTTGCACGTCATATATATATACATATATGGACGATTATTCTCTCTCTTTAATTGATTGTGATAATTCATATATCCTTTCTGATAAAAGCTAGGGAACCCCATTTTACTATTTTTCCTTACCACTAATGTGTATATGATCGTCCGAAGCATGAATTTTGTGAAACAAAGCTCGTTGCTCGTCAAAACCAAACACAGCGACTAGTTACAGAAGAAAAAGAACATATAGTTTCTTTAAAATGAGTCAGTGCGTTCCCAGTTGGGATCTGGACGATAATCATGCTGCAACGCCCCACTCGCTCCGCTCTAACTCCAATCTCACTGCTCCAGATGTTCACATGTAAGCATCGACATGATCTCAACTGAAGATTTGATGTTGAATTCTTCGTTCTTTCGATTTACTGAATTTACATGTTTGTGATTTACTTGACAGGTCGGATTATGAAATGGCGGAATTTGTTAGGAAAATAAACCGAGTACAAGTAATTTCCCTATAACCAGATTAGTGAGAATGCGAAATAAAAGCGGAAAAATAATACCCGAAAATTGATAACGGAGTTCAGCCAATTGTGCTTACGTCTCCGGGCTGCTGCAGATCTTTTACTAAGAGAGAAAATTTACAGGTGTTTACAAAACACTCACTACTCACAAGAAAGCTCTCTAGTATAGGAAGAAAGAAATGTTTTAGGATGATTTTGAAGCTAAATGGGTAAGGGTATTTATAGTAGAAACTTAGGGACTAATCTTTGAAAATACCCTAAAGTGCAATGGCTAAAGTGAATTTACCCATTCCTATTTTCAACAAACATCTACCAAAATTTTACCAAACTTTGAAAAACATTTTTCAAAGAAACATTTACCAAACTTTGAAAAAACATTTTCCAAAGTTGGTTGCCAAACTTTGAAACTTTTAACAATCTCCCACTTGAAGACTGATTTTAATATGTCTTCACACCTCGATCAATGCAGCAGCATGTCTGGTCTTGTTATTCTAGCATGCCAACTGAAGCTGAACACAACTTCAGTTTGTCCGTAGTCACCGTCTTTGTCAACATGTCTGCCGGATTTTGAGCTCCACTAATCTTTTCAAGTTTCAAAATCCCATCTTCCAGAAGAGACCGGATAAAATGATATCTCAATTGTATGTGCTTTGTCCTGGAATGAAAAGACGGATTCTTTGCTAGATGGATAGCACTTTGACTGTCGCAATACAAGATATTGTTTTCTTGTTTCTTGCCTAACTCTTCCAAGAAACTTTGGAGCCAAACCATCTCCTTGCTGGCTTCCGTAACAGCGACATATTCTGCTTCAGTTGTGGAGAGAGCAACTATCTTCTGTAGTTGAGAAACCCAACTCACTGCAGTTCCTCCTAGAGTATAGACATACCCTGTAGTGCTCCTTCTGATGTCGACATTTCCGGCTAAGTCAGCATCTACATAGCCTGTCAGTATCATATCTCCACCTTTGAAACAAAGTGCTTTGTTTGTGGTACCCCGAAGATATCTGAGGATCCATTTGACTGCTTCCCAGTGTACCTTGCCCGGATTATTCATGTACCTGCTAACAGCTCCCACTGCATGAGCAATATCTGGTCTGGTACAAACCATGGCATACATCAGACTTCCAATTACTGAGGCATACGGCACCTTCACCATGTGTGCACGTTCTTCCTCCGTCTTTGGTGATTGGTCTTTGGAGAGTCTGAAATGAACACCTAAAGGTGTACTTACTGGTTTAGCATCTTGCATGTTGAACCTGGAGAGTACTTTGTTGATGTACTCAGCCTGTGATAACATCAAAGTCCCCGACTTTGTGTCTCTCTTGATCCTCATCCCAAGAATCTGCTTTGCAGCGCCCAGATCCTTCATAGCAAACTGCTTCGACAATTTTTGCTTCAAGTGTATAATCTCTTGCATGTCTGAGCCTACAACGAGCATGTCATCAACGTACAATAATAAAATAATGAAGCTGTTGTCGAACCTCTTGATGTAGCAACAATGATCTGCTTGGCATCTGATAAAACCACTGCTACTCATGAAGCTATCGAACTTCTTGTACCACTGTCTAGGAGCTTGTTTTAAACCATACAAGCTCTTCTTCAAACTGCATACCAGGTTTTTCTTGTCTGCCTCTATGAAGCCTTCTGGCTGCCTCATATAGATTTCTTCCTCCAAATCACCATGAAGGAAAGCTGTCTTTACATCTAACTGCTCAAGATGTAAATTCTCTGCAGCTACAATTTTCAACACCAGTCTGATTGTAGACAATTTTACGACTGGAGAGAAAATTTCATTGTAGTCAATACCTTCTTTTTGCTGAAAGCCTTTGACAACCAATCTTGCTTTGTAGCGTTTGCTCCCATCGTGCTCTTCTTTGATCCTGTAAATCCACTTGTTGTGGAGCGCTTTCTTGCCTGGTGGTAATTCAGCTAATTCCCATGTCTGATTTGACATAAGCGAGTCCATCTCATCTTTCATGGAAGACTCCCACTTGACTGAATCCTCCACTTGCATTGCTTCATCATAGCACTCTGGTTCACCATTGTCAGTCAGCAACAAGTAGTGTAAAGAGGGAGAATACCGTTGGGTTGGTTTAGGAATTCTGGATGAGCGTCTCAGTTCTGGTGTGCCTGGTTCTTCTTGAACTGCTTCAGGATTGATCTGAACATCATTTCCAGAAATCTCCTCGAACTCAGCAAATTCCTTTGTTTCAGCTTCGGTATTACTTGATTCTGCGGTTGATCTATCTTTGTACATCACATTTTCATTGAAAATGACGTCTCTGCTTCTGATGATCTTCCGATTTTCATAGTCCCAAAACCGGTAACCGAACTCATCACCGTCATAACCAACAAAGGCACATTTGTTGGACTTAGCATCAAGCTTACTTCTTTCAACAGAGTCTATGTGTACATAAGAAATACAACCAAACACTCTTAAGTGTGAAAGGTTTATTTCTTTCTTGCTCCAAACTTCCTCTGGTATTCTGCCATCCAAAGGAACTGAGGGCCCACGGTTGATCAAGTAAGCTGCAGTGTTGATTGCTTCAGCCCATAGAAATTTGGGCAAGCCGGCATGTATCCTCATACTTCTGGCACGTTCATTCAGAGTTCTGTTCATGCGCTCTGCTACACCATTATGTTGCGGTGTCTTGGGAACTGTTGTCTCCATCTTGATCCCATTGTTTGCGCAGAAATCTCTGAATCTACTGTCTCTGTACTCTCCTCCATTGTCAGACCTCAACCGCTTGACTTTCAAACCAGTCTCATTTTCCACCATGGCCTTCCATTTTCTGAAGATATCGAAGACTTCTGATTTCTTCTTCAGAAAATAAACCCACACCTTCCTTGTTGAATCATCGATGAAGGTGACATAATATAGTGAGCCTGCAAGAGATGGAACTGGGGATGGTCCCCATACATCAGTATGAACCAATTCTAACCTTTCTGCCTTGGGTGTCTTGCCAATCTTTGCAAAACTGACTTTCTTTTGTTTGCCAAAGATGCAATCCTCGCATAGTCCGACATCTACATTTTTTAGATCCGGCAGCTTCCCTTTTGACAAAAGTGTCTTCATCCCTTTCTCGCTCATATGGCCAAGCCTTTGGTGCCATAGGTTTGATTTTCCATCAGCATCTGCTACTGCAATGATATTCTCTAAATTTGAGGTTACATAGAGAGTACCAGTCTTCTTACCACGAGCAATGACGAGTGCTCCTTTGGTAATCTTCCATTCACAGCCTGAAAAGGTTGTGCTATATCCTTCTCCATCAAGCTGTCCAACAGAAATCAGATTTCTTTTGAGGCCAGGAATATGTCTCACTCCTGTCAGCTTCCAGGTGGTCTGGTTTGGCAACTTTAGTCGGATGTCTCCTTTTCCGACGATCTTTAAGGTTTCATCATCAGCAAGATGAACCTTCCCAAAATCACCACTGACATAGTTCTCCATGATTTCTCGACATGGGGTGGAGTGGAAAGATGCCCCTGAATCCAAGATCCATGATTCAATCGGACTGTTGACGCTTAAAATCATGGCATCACCTGTCTCCTCCGTCATGTTGGCAGATTCCTGTACGCCGGTATTTTTCTTCGGTGCTCGGCAATCTCTTTTGAAGTGACCCTTTTTGCCGCAATTATAACAGGTAAAATCTTTATTTCCTGTTCTTGATTTGCCCCTTCTAGATTTTGATCTGCCACGATTTGAATTTCTTTCTGAAGTTCTCCCTCTAGACTCCGTGTGTAAGGCTGAGGAGGTTGATGCTTCACCCGATTCTCTTCGTCGAATTTCTTCACTCAATACCAGATCTCGAACATCGTCGAATTTTAATTTGCTGTTTCCCGACGAACTGCTGACTGCTGTAACAGTAGCATTCCAACTGTCTGGTAGAGATGATAAGAGAATTAAAGCTCGAACTTCATCATCGAACTCAATTTCCACTGAACTCAACTGGGTTGTGATTGTGTTGAGTTCATTTAGGTGTTGTGCCACCGATGCCCCTTCCGCCATCCGCAAATTGAATAATCGCCTCATCAAATGAACTTTGTTTGAGGCCGATGGCTTCTCGTACATACTGGAGAGAGCCGCCATAAGACCCGCCGTGGTCTTTTCCTTTGCTATGTTAAAAGCAACATTGCGGGATAACGTCAGTCGGATAACTCCGAGGGCTTGTCTGTCGAGAAGAGCCCAATCTTCATCCTTCATGCCCTCTGGTTGCTTTCCTGAGAGAGGTTGATATAGATTTTTCTGGTACAAAAAATCTTCAATCTGCATCTTCCAAAAGCCAAAGTCCGCACCATCGAACTTTTCAATTTTCACCTTCCCTTCGTCTGCAGCCATCGCTCCCACTCGAATCTGGCTTCGTTTGGATCGTTTCTGACAATTCTTGCGAATCACCGTGTATTAGAACACCACCGTCGACAAACTCGTATCGCCGACCGAATTTCACTATTCACGAAATTCACTATTCACGTGAATAGTAATGAATAGTAACCTCGCAGAAAATTTGACAAAATTCACAACCAAAAGCTCTGATTACCAGTTGTTAGGAAAATAAACCGAGTACAAGTAATTTCCCTATAACCAGATTAGTGAGAATGCGAAATAAAAGCGGAAAAATAATACCCGAAAATTGATAACGGAGTTCAGCCAATTGTGCTTACGTCTCCGGGCTGCTGCAGATCTTTTACTAAGAGAGAAAATTTACAGGTGTTTACAAAACACTCACTACTCACAAGAAAGCTCTCTAGTATAGGAAGAAAGAAATGTTTTAGGATGATTTTGAAGCTAAATGGGTAAGGGTATTTATAGTAGAAACTTAGGGACTAATCTTTGAAAATACCCTAAAGTGCAATGGCTAAAGTGAATTTACCCATTCCTATTTTCAACAAACATCTACCAAAATTTTACCAAACTTTGAAAAACATTTTTCAAAGAAACATTTACCAAACTTTGAAAAAACATTTTCCAAAGTTGGTTGCCAAACTTTGAAACTTTTAACAGAATTGACATGGGAAAATGGCCAGCTAGCCATGCATAGTTTAGGTCCGACGCGTGTACCGGCGAAGCCATTGATTTCCAACGCTCCTTCTAAGTACACTGCTTGGGATAAACCACGGGCTAATGGCACTTTGGAGTCCATAGTGAACCAGGCCACTGGCGCACCGTATCTTAAGGTTTCTCTTCACGGCGGTGGAAATGAAATTGTATCCTGTTTGGATCAACACCGTGCTGCAGCGGATGCTTTGGTCCCTTGCTCGAAAAGGTCGACGGAGGACCGGACTGCACACGTGATGGAATCCATACCAGGACTCGGAGGATCTCGCTTGGTGGGATCCTGTAGAGTTCCCATCGGAACTCGAGATGGCGAAGTACTCGTTACAGGGAAACGCACACGGGCGGCGGTTCATGTTCCCGTAACACCCGAGTGGAGCGGCAAGGAACGAAGTGCAAGCGCCAGTGCCTCGTTCGGCCGCGATAGCCAATGCGTTACTTTTGATACGTATAAGAAAGATTTGAGCGTGGGTTTTACTTCTACTTCCCTTGGTTCCCCGGAAAACACAAGCTCCACGAGGCCCTGTACCAAGGCCACCACCACTGCTGATGATCATGACTCTGTTTGTCACAGTAGAGCCCAAGTAAAGTTCTTCCATTTACCCATTATTCCATGCCGAAACTATAAATATATATATTTGTTTGTGATTTTTCTTTTGGTTAATGTTAAAGAGGGAGGAAATTGAAGAAGACAAGAAGGAAATTGGGAAATCTTCACTTTCAAATAAAAGGAGCAGAGCTGCTGCTATCCATAACCAGTCCGAACGTGTATGCTCTCTCAACCTTGAATATAATAATCAAGTTTATAAGTATGTATTTAATTATTTGGGTGATTTTCCAGAAAAGAAGAGATAAGATCAACCAAAGGATGAAGACGTTACAGAAGCTGGTTCCAAATTCCAGCAAGGTACGAACTTTTCTATCTCAGCTTTGTCAGTTGTTGTAACGTACAGAGGTAGTATTAATAGCTAAAAATCATTTCGGCAATGGTCAAAAGAAGAAACAGTAAACAGTAGTTGCATCAGTAATTCTTATGTTTCGTTTCCTTTTCACAAATTTCCATATCGGAACTGATATCGATACTTCTTAGTACTTGCTACTCATTTATGTTATTCTAGCTTTTATATTATTTTTATACCTAAAAAAACTTTTAGGAAAAAAAAAGGAAATCCAACTATTTTAACTTTGTAAAAAGTTGAAGAGAAAAGGAGATTAAGGCTTATCTATATGGATCGCTAACAAACTGTAAAGGCGTAAATGACCCACGTAAGAGGTATACTACAGCGAGTAGAAGAAGAACAAAAAAGCTGACGAATAAATTGTAGCAGTCTATAGTGTTGCAACTTGCTATCTTTAACCGTCAATTTAATGATTTTGTGGGCGAAGGTTTCTCCATTTTTGGTCTTCAATGTCCTCTCCACTACTAGCTTTTTGGTGGGATTTCCATGGATTTTTCGTTGGAAGGAAGACTAAAAGATGCTTTCTTCTTCTTGGTATAGAAGCCTTGCGAGTTGGTCATGCATCCAATTATAATATAGTGGGACATAAATTGAAAAGTCTAGTACTTTGTTGTGCAGACAGTTAATTTGATTTTTGTTCCATTACAGACTGACAAAGCTTCAATGTTAGACGAAGTGATTGACTACCTGAAACAATTGCAAGCACAAGTTCAAATGATGAACAGGATGAACATACCACCAATGATGTTGCCAATGGCAATGCAACAGCAACTCCAAATGTCGATGATGGCTCCAGCGATGGGGATGGGAATGGGCATGGGTGTCATGGATATGAACACTATGGGGCGTCCCAACATCGCCGGCATCTCGCCCGTTATGCCTAATCCTTTCTTGAACATGACATCCTGGGACGTCTCCGGTGAACGGTTACAACAAGCTTCCTCTGCAATGCCGGACCCTCTTTCCGCATTCATGGCGTGCCATTCACAGGTATCAATTAAAAAAATACAGCATCCTCCATTGATGCTTCTTAAGGATAACATAGATATGATGTATAAATTATGAATATATCGCCTGTTTGGTGCAGCCGATGACCATGGATGCTTACAGCCGGCTGGCTGCTATATATCATCAAATGCAACAACCGCCTGCTTCTGGTTCTAAGAGGTAAGCTTCAAGCCATTACTTTTAGCTACGTTTTTATATATCTATACAAAAACTTCGGTTTCAATTCTTACACTTGCACAGGGTTTTGGTTTGTAGTTCGGTTGCTTCAAAGCCTTCTCTTTGAATATGAAATATCAATATCAATACACCTATGAGCCTTGTGAGATAGGGCATTCTCATCATTGATGCCTTTCCTGATAAAAAAAAAAGAACCCCAAACTTGATCATTGGGTAGTCTGTACTGCAATTGACGGTGTGTAATCGATCAACATCTGTATTTTTTGTCAAGTTTCCCACGTCTTAAAAGCAGACATCTTAACGTGTGGTGTCCACAAAAAGATAAACATTTAAATGATTGGATACTCATTTGTCAAGTTGTATTTAGGAGTCACCACTCGTTTTGTTCCCAAGGGATCCCCACACAAATATCTCTATTTTCCGTTTCTTCATCAACTCTGTCCTGTTGGATAATCTGAACCATATATATGGTCTTAAGATAAGTCGTCTTTATGAGCCTTATAGATTTTCATTAACAATAATTATCAATGATGATTAAAAATGGGACCCATTTGGATTGATCGATTTTATTCATTATTTGCACACAAAATTTAGAGAAAATTGGGCTACTTTTCAACCCAGGGACCCCAAAAGATTTTATATTTATCTGTTGTAAACAACATTGACGTGAATGTGATAGGCAGCCATATCATGTTTAAAGCACATATATACGAGTGTATGATTGGAGCCTTGAACGATTGGACGATGAGATCACCACATGCTTCTTTTCTTTTTATTTCTTCTCTCCAAAAATCTAAACCCTCTACCCCTCCTAAATTTATAGGACAATAGTTTATTTAATTAAATCATTGTCGGTTAAGTTAATTTTATTGGTCTAATAACGATCAATTATGAGTTATTGAAATTTATAAATCAATAACTTATTAACTAGTGTTAATGATAAAATGAATGAGTTTTAGTAGTTGCGTCTGCATAATATTTATGGACTATCATTAAAATTTAAAAATTCTAAACAAATAAAATCTTATGATCAGCTCGTTTAGTGATCTCTATTGTAGTTTACCCTAAAATTAATTTTATAATATATAATTTAAGTAATTAGAAAATAATAAACTAAATAAATATATATTTTTGGTAAGGATCCAATTTAGTTTTAGTTATAGTATGAATACATGTAAACAATGAGAGGTAATAATCTATTTTAAGGGATGAAAATATATTTTTAATAAAAAATATAAAAAATTCTAAAAATATAAAAAATTAAAAATTTCAAGGGCCCCACCTACCCCTAGATTAATCCCTGCATGTAAACATTATACACCAAGGGCTCTTTAAAATTATTTCTTGGGACCAAAACCCTTAAGACTCCTGAAGTACTATTTGTGGTTGAATATTCACCAAGTTTAAGGGTCATAACCAACAGTAGTAGTTGAAACAATCCCAACTTGCAGCAGTGGAGATGAACCTCCACTCATATTGACGTCCTCTAGTTCACTTGGTTTTGCTAACATCATCGTACTTCCAGTTTTGTCTTCCTCATCTTGATTAGAACTGTTACAAGTATTGTTCTTAATCGTATCGTTGTTGTTATTATTGTCAACTTTAAGTAACAGTAGATTATCTTCCTTTTCTTTGGCATCGATGCCAATCCAATTAGGTTGCAAATAGACTCATGGTGAAACATTAAAACTCGATCGATCAATGTGGTTCGGTCGTATGAGCCCGTTAGTTGAAGCAGGAAGATTGAGATCAAGCTGAAGATCGAGCGGCTCAGAATCACCAACAAAGCTTGCTCTTTGGGTTTGCGGAGTCTGGTTTACGTTGTCTTGAAGCCGATGAAACTTAAAGAAAGAGGAAGTGTGATCTGCAGGTGGATTCGATGTGATCCAGTGACATCTTTTATGCCCTCCTAGTGCTTGTCCCGATGAAAATACCCGATGACATATTGAACATTCGTGTACTTTTAATTTCTTTTTAGATGCAGAGGCCAGTGTATCAACTTGAAATGGTGGCATAGATTTCGGGTGGAAAAACACGTCGCCATCATCATTAGCTGAACTATTGTCTCTACGATTACGATCATCGAGCCGAGGTGCGGAACATCCCTTAACTTTTTTGTGACTAGCCCTATGTCCACCCAATGCTTGATGGGAATTGAACACTTTCTTACATGTTTTGCACTCAAACGACCCTTTGGCTACAACTTTTCCCTTATCCATAGGTACCCTAGGCCTATATGCAATGGGAGTAATGAAGCTCATTGTATTTCTCCTCTCTTCTTCTTTGCTAGCCGAAGTACATGACTCCTCAGGCTCGGTAACAAAAGGGACAACAACGGCTGCATTAGATAACATCATCAAGCAATTGGCAACATCTAACTCTTCGCTTGATGGACAATCGGAGACCAATGTTCTTTTCCTCTTAGACGAGTAACCTGAGCCTCTCCTCGTCACGCCATTGTCATCATTATAGGCCACTTGCGACGAACCAAGCGATTCAGCATCCCTAGAGCTACATTTACCATGCTCAAGAAAAGATTTCCATGACAAGAGCTCCTTGCCACAATTCTCACAAACCCTACATCTCTTTAATCGATTGAGGTTTGTCCTTAATCCGTCCATGCACTTGTTGCCCAATGGCCCGATGTACTCTCCTAATTGGTCTTCCCAATCACCCGTGGTGTGTCATCGTCATTAATATACGGGCTCTCGTTGCCTATTCCATGCGACCTCATGTGGCCACCAAGAGCTCTCCCACACCCAAATCGTTTGTTGCAAATTTTGCAAAAGTATTTAAATTCAGATTGCTGATCCACACTAAAAGCCATATTAGAAAAGAATCTGGGGATTGAATTTGAATGAAGTGAAAGAAGAATGGGGAAAGGAGGGTGACCTGTTTGTTCTTGTATAGTGAAAGGTTGTATGGTGACAATTAAGGGGACAAGACAATAGCCCTAGTTTTTAGTAATAGTAATGGATTGGTTTAATTTTGTGAATGAAAAACATATATGGATTAGAAAGAGAAGAGAACTAAATGGATTGGAGAGTTGAGGTTTGAGGAGTGTTGGGGGTGACAAGTGGCAGGAGGAGAGGGTCTGAGACTTGGATACTTTTAGGCTTAAAAAAAGGATTTAGACAAAAACATTAAACTCGTTTTAAATACAATAGTTAATTATACATAAAATTTTAATTCAATTGTTTAGATATGTATAAATTTATTATCCACCTTTATGGCTTTATCCCATTGTCGTCTAACAACTATTACTTTCCTGCTTGCCTCGTTTCAACTAACCTAACATTCCTTAAATATCCGATAAATTGAAAATAAGGTTTATTACACTCCACTTGCTTTCAACCTTCATCATTTCCTTTTTCTTGTTATTGTTATTTTTTTATTCAGATAATAATTGAAAACCATACTTAGTACGCACAAAACGAAGTAAAATATTATCGTTCTTTTAAAAATAAGGTTTAACTACTTATTTAGTCATCCACCTATATCTGTATTTATGTTTTGATCATTTAACTATTATTTTTCTTAAATCATACTTAACATTACATTTTCTTTTTATTTTGTTCATTCAATATTAGGTCTGATCGTTGACTTAATGGAATTGGTGATGTGGCATTTGATATAAAAATAATTTTAGTCTCCAAAACTTACACATCCTATCAAATTAATTCTAAAACAAAATAATTTAAAAATCTTATCAATTGGTTCTAATTTAACTTGAAATAATTTATTATTTTATTAATAATTTAATAAAAAAAAATAGTGGTTTGATTTCAAAACTATCAAAGTTTAGGTACTTATTATCTGAATATCTTTTTTTATTTCAAGTTTCTCCCTATCTGTCATCCCCGCATTCTCCACAACTCCCACTACCGTCTTCATGTCTTCATGTCATCATTCATCATTCATCATTCCTTTATTTTTTGACATCTTCTTCACCTTCCATATGCTCTGAATTTCATAGTCACCCCCTTACGATATTGCAACAATCTCATCCGGTGATTCCTCCGGACTCCCATCGCAGTTGTGCTCACTGTCGTCGCCAAAACATCTCCATCCATCCTTCATCACTGTCGCTCTTATGCAAACCACACACCCTTCGAACACTACCTTTTTCACTATTCCCATAAATTATCTCCTTGTCCGTCGCTCTTATGCAAAACACACATTTCGAACACCACCTTTTCACTGTTTCCATAAATTCTCTCTCCCTGTTCTTCGCTCTCAAAATCATGACCTCAACATTCTATTGCTCTTCGAAAACCTAATTTTCAAAACTGACTAAATAACTCACGAGGAGTGCAGCTGAGTTTGATGGTTGTAAGGCATGTTAGCTTGGATTTTCCCAAGCTTGGAGTGAAGTTCTAAGCTTGCCTTCGCTTTTTTTCTTTTGAGTCGTGCTCTCTCTTCAGTTCTGGTCAGTCTTCTTCCAGTTAAAAAGTAAGGAAAGGTCCATAAAGATGAACTAGGGAGTAAGGACAAGTCTTGAGTCTTTGGGTCTTTCCTTTTATTTCTCCTGAGGATAGCGATCAGTCTTACTAGCCTGAACAACTTTAATATCGAGTCCAGTTCGTACTTATTCCCAGGCAAGAATTAGTCTTGACTAGCCCCTTCGTCCAACTTTGGATAGCAAACGACGCTATAACGGGTCGACAAGGGGTGTACGACAAACATAGAGAGGCAACGACGACGACTGAGTGAACGAGCGAAGACGACTATCGTAATTTGGAAGAGGTATTTTGGGATTTTTTTTGTTGGATCAAATTGAAGGATTTCTAAATATTAAGATTTTTTTAAATATCTTGAATTACAATCAATTTGATAAAATGTGTAAGTTTTGAGGATGAAAATAGTTATTATACATTAGTTATGTAAGTCAACAATCAAACCTAACTACAAGTGATCAGACAAAAATAAAACTTAATGTTAAGTATCATTTTGAAGAAAAAAATAATTTGATCATCAAAACAAAACATAAAAATATGTAGATGAATTAAATAAGTAATTTACTCTAAAATAAAAACTCTGATCATATATATTTTATATAACAAAAATTACAAACAAAAGTGAAAATCATCTTAATGTAAAATAGTTAAAATTCAATTATGAATATTAAAATTATTTAATATATTTTAATTTATACATATAGTTAATCATTAATCCGTGCATGACAGAGAATGCAAACTAGTTTGATGTAAGAAGTTTAACTTAGTGTCATTTTATGTGTGAGTTATTTTTTTAACATAAGTTCAAATTTAATTTTGATTTATTAGTTTATATTTAATTGAATGAAAATTAAATTCTCACACCTAAACTAAAAGTAAGAGATATTGTACTCCGAAAATTTTGAATAACTGAGACGATATAATCTTTATCACAGTGAATTAAATAAATATAATCTTTTATAATGATCCAATTTAATTTTAGTTGTCATATGAATACATATAAGAATTATACACGGAGGGTTCGTAATCAGTTCATTGGGACCAAGGCCCCCTCTTACGCTTCAAGTACAATCCGTGTGATTGAATAAAAAAATTTAAGGGTGAGAACCAACATTAGTAGTTGAAACGATCCCAACTTGCAGCCATGGAAATGAACTTCCTCTCATATTGATGTCCTTTAGTTCACTTAGTTTCGCTAACATCATCGTACTGCCAGTTTTGTCTTCCTCGTCTTGCTTAGAACTATTACAAATATTGTTCTTCATCGTATCGTTGTTGTCAACTTGCAGTTTCTGTAGATTATCTTCCTTTGCTTTGGAATCAACGGCAATCCAAGGTTGCAAATAGACTGTTGGTGAAACATCGAAACTCGATCGATCAATTTGGTTCGGTCGTATGAGCTCATTTGTCGAAGCAGGAAGATTGAGATCAAGCTGAAGATCGAGCGGCTCAGAATTACCAACAAACCTTGATCTTTGGGTTTGCGGAATCTGGTTTACGCTGTCTTGAAAACGGTGAAACTTAACTAAAGAGGAAGTGTGATAAGCAGGCGGATTCGGTGTGATCCAGTGACATCTTTTGTGCCCTCCTAGTGCTTGTCCCGATGAAAATACCCGGTGACATATTGAACATTCATGTACTTTTGATTTCTTTTTGGAAGTAGAGGCCAATGTATCGACCGGAAATGTTGGCATAGATTTGGGGGGCAAAAACATGTCGCAATCATCATTGGTAGAACTATTATCCCTACGATTACGATCATCGAGCCAAGCTGCAGAACATCCCTTGACTTTCTTGTGACTAGCTCTATGTCCACCCAATGCTTGATGGGAATTGAACACTTTCTTGCATGTTTTGCACTCAAACGACCCTTTGGCTACACCTTTGCCCTTATCCATAGGTACCCTAGGCCTATACGCAATTTCTTCTTTGCTAGCCGAAGTACATGACTCCTCAGGCTCGGTAACAAAAGGTACTACAATGGTTGCATTAGATAACATCATCAAGCAATTGGCAACATCTAACTCTTCGTTTGATGGACAATCGGAGACCAATGATCTTTTCCTCTTAGAAAAGTAACCCGAGCCTCTCCTCGTCACGCCATTGTCGTCGCTATCAGCCTCTTGCGAGGAACCAAGCGATTCAGCATCCCTAGAGCTACATTTACCATGCTCAAGAAAAGATTTCCATGAAAAGAACTCCTTGCCACAATTCTCACAAACCCTACAGCTCTTTAATAGATTAGGGTTTGTTCTTAATCCGTACATGCGCTTGCTGCCCGGTGGCACAATGTTCCCTCCTAATTGGTCTTCCCAATCACTCATGGTGTCGTCGTCAACAATGTACCGGCTCTCGTTGCCTATTCCATGCGACCTCATGTGGCCACCAAGCGCTCTCCCACACCCAAATCGTTTGTTGCAAATTTTGCAAAAGTATTTGAACTCAGATTGTTGATCCACTATAAAAGCCATATTAAAAAGGAAAATCTGGTAATTGAATTTCAATGAAGTGAAAGAAGAATGGGAAAAAAAGGGTGAGCTGTTTGTTCTTGTATAGTGAAAGGTTGTACGGTGACAATTAAGGGGACAAGACAATAGTCCTAGTTTTTAGTAATGGTAATGGATTGGTTTGATTTTGTGGATGAAAAATATACATAAGAGGCGAGAGCTAAATAGATTGGAGAGTTGAGGTTTGAGGAGTGTTGGGGTGACATGTGGCAGGAGGAGAGGGCGAGAGACTTGGGTAAAAATACTAGGCTTAAAAATGGATTTAAATAAAAAACATTAAACTCGTTTTAAATATAATAATTAATTGGATAAACTACATCACATACTACTAATTTTAAGTCGTATACCGTTTATATCATCGAGCTTTCAATTGTTCCAATTATAACATTAAATTTTAGTTTTGGCTTCAATTATAATATTTTGTTGTTAAATTTTAACGACATGATGACGTGTATACAATTTTCCGTCATTACGATGATATGTACAAAATGATGCCGTTTTGGTATATCTATTGATGTCAAAATAACGTCGTTTTCTAACCACTGCTGATAGTCAATCATCGCTCGTCATCGGATGTCATTCACGGCAAGATCAATATCAAAATATTCATATTTCTCTCATTTTTTCTCATCGGATTGGTTTTTCACAAAACTCACTAAAATCGACAAAAATTCATCTACTGGTTCGATGTGCTAATACTATGATCTCCTTTGATGATCATTCGATGAGACTAATTTTGAGGTATGTTGTTCGTCTTCTCGAAATAATAATTCTCACCGTTCGTATTTTTTTAACAAACACCTCAAACCTCTCATATCTTAGAAAGTCCTCAAACCTTTAGAAGTGAGTGATTTTTTTGGTTTAAGTTTATCGATTCTGGGTGACTTTCATGGAAACCAATCTTAGGAGAAGAAAGCAAGGTGAAATAAGAACATTTTGATACATATATTGTCGCTAAAGGCGATTGATGATGGACAATTATTCATTATCAGTGACAATTGAAAAAGTGTAATGTCAAAAAGTGAATTATTTAAAAGTTCAATGACAAAATCGATACACTTTTAAAGTTTAATATCTAAAAAGACGACATTTTAAACATCAGTAATTGCACTGAAATAATTTTATTTTATCAATGTCATTACTTTATTCAAATTTTAACGACCTAATGATATAATTGAAGTTAAGATCGAAGTTTAATAATATAATTAAAGTAACTAAAAGTTTAATGGTTATAAACTCCACTTAAACTTAATTGATTTAGTTTATCATTATTTTTATCTTAGTATTCACGGATATCTTTTGAAGTTTAAAGTTATTTTAAATATATATATATATATATATATATATATATATATATATATAATATTCTACTCTTATTTTGTGTTTTATTGTAAAATGACGATTTTGAATTAAATTTATCTTATTTTATGTCATGCAAAACTAGTTAATATTGTGTTTGTTTCTTAAATAATTAACTTTTATTTATTTATTTAAAAATTATTTTTTTGATATATTGTTAATGAAAAATAATTTTATAAGTAGTGTTGTGATTATTTAAAGTGTTTTATTATTTATTTTTCAAAATTTCAAAAATATCCGAAAATATATTTAATATAATCTGAACACCGTCCATAAAATTATTTTGTTATTAATATTATATCAAATAGTAATTTATAAAATAAATATTATATAAAAATATAAAAATGTTTTACATAAATATTTATTTTATTTTAGAATAAGAGTTATTTAATAATTTTACTTATTACCCCAATTAATTAACTGTCCGTCCACTGGTTCAGCACGCAAAATGCCTTACAAGTTCTCCTGTCTAAAGACAATAGACATCACACTTTTCCCCCTTTTTTTCTTTCTCATTTTTAATCTTGAATTTTTCTTTCGTTGAGAGAAAAGGTGCAGAAGAACAATGGAATTCCCGGCGGAGCAGAAGCATGCATATCAATACGATTCTTCTCAGTACGATCATCAATCAGCCGCCTCATACTACGCCTACGCCAATCAACAGCCCCAGCAACAATACCAGTATTACCCTCCTCAAGATTTTTATTCCCAACATTACCCTCAGTTTTATCAAGACCCCGCTCCGATGCACCCTCCCGGTGTCCCCTTGGACCAATCTGTCAACCGCAATCAGCCCGCCGTTTATTATCAACCGCAGCCTGCGGTGGATACTCAACAACATCCGGTAGCCTCGGTCCTAGGTTCGGATTTCGCCGGTGCAATGGCGAATTTTGTGGGGAATAATCCTCATTCTAAGGTTAGGGTTCTTTTGTATAAGTATATTCGTATTCAATTTATCTCACGAGCTATAAGGTTGAATCTTGTTTTCTAATCGTGTGATTTCCCCCCTAAAAGAATTGGTAATTTTTTAGATGGACATGGTTAAAATCACGGTTTCAAACATGCTTTCCTTCTGAAACTTGTTGTCAGATGAATTCCCAATGTTCGTTGGTTGATGCAATGTGTTTGAAATGGTGTTAAGATTTGGACTGTATCAGGATGAGTTGCCTAGAAATGGCTCAGTTTAGCACATGCCCAGTTTATAAGTTAAAATGAGCCTGCCTTAAGCAACAACATATGATCTTCCTGAATCTGTGCTGTATCAAATTCGTATTTATCTGTCTGTACAGTACCAATGCTATTTTTGGCTGGGCCTAGTTTGCTTATTGTTTAATAGCCTTGGTATTCTATAGCAAATTAATAGAACTGTACAGCAAAGATTTTTTGTTAGAGGAGCCGGGCTAAGCCGAGTCGATTTTAGCTCAAAGATGATTTTGTCAGGGCCAACCACTTGTTATTGAGTTTCCGAGGAGCTCAAGGATATCACCGCTTGGCTCAGCTTGGCTTGCCTCAAGTTTTTACATACTTTCTGTAGATGTCTATTTTATTAACTGCGGTCTTTATGCTAGGTTGATGCTTATGTAATTGCTTGGCTGCAATAATATTGATATCATTTATATTGGACATTGTGGTAAGTATCGTGTAATGCTCCATCAGGTATGGAATGTCCATTGGTCAACAGAGCCTATAGGTACTGAATTCTTGGCACTCATCGCTCTTCTTGCAAGATATCAGAAGATAAAACAGTTTAATTGGTCACATATCTCTAGAGCAATTAGGTAAGGGCAGTAATCTAAGGGACAAGTTTGTAATAACACGTGGTTGTAGCTTTGGGTTCCATGTTATGGATGAATGATGATTGTTCTTTACTGGTTGCTCCAGGGATTGTGGCCATTGAGCACCTTTTCTTCTGTGGCTCTGTGCTCCATTGACTCATGCAATTTCTTTCTTATGCACTAATTTTTTTTGGCGTGCTACAACCTTCAATAATTTACTGACCGGTATTTTTGGGTTTGATTGCTATTGTTTGGTTTAGTTTGTGGATCATAATTATAACCATACCGAGCCATCTCTGTGCATCGTCTGCTGCTTAACTGCATGACAATTTTGAACCAGAGTATTTTGGCACCCTCTGAGTTCTCAAGGATTATTAGATCACCTTTTATCTTGATGCTGACCAAGCTTTAGATGGGGAGCACTTTGAGAGTCCTTTTGGCGAACAATTTCTTGTTGGTCTTCCCTTTATATCATTCTCTTCTTTCTCCCTAGTTTCCCTTATCATTGAAGACATGCCATTCTACCATAAGGACTTCTGTTTCTTACATATATGACTTTATCTCCATAGTAAGGTCCTATCAGCTCTAAGTAATTATAGCTTTTAGTGCCGAAGTAGTTTAATTTACAGGTTGAGCGATCTCAACCCTCTACAGAAGGGAAGTTACCCAATAATATTAAATAAAAAGCTTTTGAAGCCACTCATGGATTTTAGCTTTTAAATGTCTTATTCTAGTCATTCCTATAATGCAGCTGATTTTTTTTTCATTCATTTTAAGATGTATATTCCCATGATGTTTGGAGGACTTAAATCTTTGAACCATCAACCATCTAGATGCATTACTTTGTATAATCTTCCCACCCTCTTTAGACAGCATTGTCTGCTTCTATATATTAAACATAATCAATTTCTTCATGTTGATAATCTGAATATCACATGTTTTTAATCAATCTTAGGTGCACTGTAAGTCTGTATCCTGGAAATGAATTGAAATAACATTATATAGGTGTTATGTTTAGAAATTTTAACTTTTTTGTTGTTTGATGATATATATCAAGAGAATAGGTTCATTGTTTAGCATCTAATGTGCAGCATGCCAAGTTTTCTTGTGGACATTTCAAGCTATGCTTTTACTTTGAACAGCATGCTCTTCTTCTTTGTGACCTTGAAATATTTGCTTTTTTGTAGTGTGTATACCCTTTCATGCATCATTTTCAGAACTCTCGCTTGGTTCAACATTCTTACGAGTATGGTTTTGGTACTTATTTAGATTCTTTGGTCGAATATCCTTGTAATAGCTTTAAATTTTTAGTCTTATTTTCTGGCTCATATTCTATAAGCTTAGTTATGCATTAACAATTGGATTTTTTTTCTTGTATTGTTTGCTTTTGATAATGTTCAAAATCCATGTCATAATTTGATCAGTTTTAATTTAATTCCTTTTCTGAGAATGCATTTAACCTTATTATTTTGATTAAATTTGATCCCGTAAACTCTAGTAATCATGTTATTTCATGTTGCACCTCAACTATGAATCTATTCTACAGATACAAACTGCGTATAGGGGTGGTAGGACTTTTAGAGGTGGTGGTCGGGGTCATGTTGGTAACCGTGGCATCAAACCTGATGGCTCTGCACCTCTTCGTAGGGGTCGCCATAGTGGCAGCATGCACTTTGCTTCAACTGGCGTGACATCATCAATTCCAAATTCTGTATCGGATCCAAGTGTTGCCGGAATGCCACCTTCAGCATTAGTTCCTGATCAAGCTACATTGCCACCCCAAATGCCTTCTGCTCTAGTCTGGCCACTTCCACGTATGGCTTGGTGTGAACTTTGCAGAGTTGATTGCAACAGACCAGAAATCCTGGAGCAGCATAAGAATGGAAAGTGACATAAGAAAAACTTGAAGTTACAGGAAGAGATGCAGAAGCTGAACAAAGTCATTACTCCACATCAAAGTGTGCAAGTGCTCAATACAGAATCAGAAGTTGCTCAATCCAAGAAAGTTGAGGGATCTGAGGAAAAGCAACATCAACAGGAAGCTTTGTTGTCCCTGCCAACCACTGATGACAAGGAGAAAGAAACTGAGCAGCAGAAAGACATAATGAATAAGTCTGAAGCATCAACTAACAGGAAATTAAATGGTCCCTCCGAAGCTCAGGGATGTGGTACCAAGCGCAAGATGAAAGGGGGACGAGGGGGTAAATATATGAAAAGCAATGAAGGACCTCGAAGACCAGTTGAGCCTCCCAAGCCAGTAAGAGGTATTCCCTTTTTTTGTGAGTTGTGTAATGTCAAATGCGACTCTCAGGTGGTTTTTGACAGCCATTTGGCTGGGAAAAAGCACACTGCAAATATGAAGAAGTTTCAAGGGCACCAGGCTTTATATGGAGAAAAAGGGCTTCAGGCGCTTTATCCTCCTAATTTGAATGCTCCATCATCTTTCTTCATCCCCCAAACCCAGCAAGATTTGACTGACCCACAAGCTGTTTTAGCTCAGCTGTTGACTTATGTTCTTAGTCAAGCCCAGGTCCCTGGGATAGCAGCAGCCCCTCGGGTACCTCTACCAGCAGCAACATTGGTACCATCACAAATACCATTATCATTATTGAGTTCAGAAATGCAACATCCGCATCAATTCACTCAAGGTTCATTGGTCACATCAGAAACGAGCAGGGAAGTGCCCCTGAAGGCAGAAGCTGAATCACCTCCATTTGCAGGAAATAACAAAGCAGAGTGCCAAACTTCGGAATCTGAAAAGAATGATACGAGTCAACAACAAACTATCGCTGCTTCTGAAGGAACCTATGTTAAGGTGGAGGATGAAGCTTTACTCTTGGAGAATAAGCCAGACATTTCTGCCATCGATAACCCTATTTGTGCAATGTCGTCAACATCAGAATAAGATGCCAAAACAGAGTCGGGATCTAACAACAATTTGGTGGAACTACGGGAAGGGTCAAAGGAGGTTGATCTGAATTGAGCAAAATTCTGTTTCACTTCACATTTCTGTTTTAATTTGGCAATGTAGAAGGGAACAGTAGAACAGTATTTCTTTTTATTATTCGAGGCTATTACTTATGTAAAATAAGAATTTAATTAAGCGAAACTATCTTTTAGGAATTCAATCGTATATGGTAAAAGAATGAAACTTTTATCTGATTTTTTTTTCGAAGTAGAATTTATTTTTGGTATTTGAACCATCCTTTTAAAATTGTTACGTTTTGAGCATGTTATATTAATGGTAACACAAGACATGCAGGGTTAGGAGGGAATAGCTTTTGTAATCTATTTTTCTATGGAATCATTCCCAGAATCATCCCTTATTCTCTATTTGCTTACGCTATCTTGACAGCCATTCACTCAAATATCTGTCACAGCCCCGGCAAGGAAGACGACATTTAATTTATCATCGTGATTTTCAACCCTGATTGACTCAAAATGCTCACTGGCTCGTAAATTTAATCTTTCCTCAACCCATCTTCCCCGTTCCTGCATTCCCCCATATATATTAAAGTATTAAAAGTTAATATGTTAAAAAGCATTGTCATTGGGCCTGGATTTAAGGGTGTTTTCTCATGAATGACTTTTAATACAACGACCATCGAATATGCTTAGGAATTCTCTCATCTCAACTACTCTAATTATAAATCTTTACTAAACCCTTCACTTCATCACGCCAAAGCATATGCTCTTCCATATTCTATTACTCTTTTGCTATTAAAACCGATTCATCCACCATTCCTCCTTCATTTCCATTCTTCCAAGTATGAAGTTCGGGAAGAGATTAAAGCAGCAAATCGAGGAAACGTTACCATCTTGGCGGGACAAGTTCTTATCCTACAAAGAGTTGAAAAAGCTCGTTCGACTGATTTCTTCGGCCGAGTCTCCCATGTACGGAAAGGAAGATGCCGAGGCTGAATTCGTCTACTTGTTGAACAATGAGATCGACAAGTTTAATGGCTTCTTCATGGAACAAGAGGAAGACTTTATCATCCGGCACAAGGTGAGTTTAAGTATATATGCTTTGATCACTTGAAAAACTTGACATGTCAAGGATGTATATATTCAGGAATTGCAGCAGAGGATAGAGAGAGTTATAAGTACATGGGGCACCAATGGGACCAAGCCTTCAGAAGCAGAATATAGAGACGAAATGGCCAGAGTTCGAAAAGACATGGTCAATTTCCATGGCGAAATGGTCCTCTTAGTGAATTACAGCAATATCAATTACACAGGTAATCATTGTATGATAATCTTTTTGTCTTCAATTTTGTTCATATGTTTTAGTTTACCAGACAAATGTTTTGATGGTGGTGTAGGTTTGGCTAAGATATTGAAGAAATACGACAAGCGAACCGGTGGATTGTTACGGTTGCCCTTCATCCAGAAAGTGCTGCAGCAACCGTTTTTCATAACCGATCTAGTTTCGAAGCTGGTCAAGGAATGTGAAAACACCATTGATGAAATGTTCCCTGTACAAGTAGAAGAAGAAATTGTGAAGGAACAAAGAGAAGCCATAACGGTAGCAGGGAAAGGGATCTTCAGGAACACTGTGGCGGCTCTGTTGAGCATGCAAGAAATTAGGAGAGGGAGCTCTACTTACGGCCACTTTTCGCTACCGCCTCTCGACTTGTCGGACTCTGATCTCATACACTCCTTCCAGCTCAACCCCCCAATCCCCACTGTCTGATCACAATTTATAAACTCAACTATTATGTGCTTTTGATCGTGTAATGTTTATTACGATTGTCAACATAATAATCGTAATATATTATCATATTCGTTATTTAAATTATATTGTTGTTACAGAGTTTAGAATATAGAAGATTATAATTTACATGAACTTTAGCATTGTCTCTTACAATCATCATGCTCAATTTTAATTTTGGATTGGCAACTAATTATTGGAATTAAAGGGGTTTGGAAGGTAGGAAATTATAAAATACAACCCGTTAATATAAGACTTAAAAATGGCATAAATCAATTGCAACCAAAAATTTTATTAAGAGCGTAACTTTTTAGGTTGAATAAAGTAATTTTTTAGGTTAGATAGATTACAACAAAAAAATATTACATTCTCCTAATATTTTTTGTTGTAAGCCCTAAACTTTATAATATAATTTTTCGATTACAATCAAAAATATTATAAATTTATATATATTTTTAAGTTAAACATTATAATATTTTAGATTAAAACCGTTTTAAATTAACCTTAATCCACCACAAAATTACCCTACTTCCACTCTGTTCTGATTAGGCCTGTAAATGAACCGAACGCACACGAACGAATGTATGTTCATGTTCGTTCATATAATAAATAAACGAACACGAACATAAACAAAGAATTTTTTTTTGTTCATGTTCGTTTATTAAGGAATATAACTTGTTCATGTTCGTTCATTTAATAAATAAACGAACATAAACGAACACAAACATAAATGAACACGAACATAAACGTTGGAGACCCTACCTAGGGGTGTAAACGAGCCGAGACGAGCTCGAGTATTGCTGAGCTCGACTCGAACTCAAAAACTTTCAAAGTCAGCTCGACTCGACTCGAAAACTCGCGAGCTTAAAATTATCAAGCTCGACTCAAACTCGAAATATAATATTGAAACTCGACTCAAACTCGAAAAGACTCGAACTCAAAAAATTTAAGAGCTCGATTAAAACTCGAGACTTGAGCTCGATTCTTCCCCAAGCGCAAAGATGCTTAAACCTATTTTCCCCATCTTCTTTTATATAAGTTATCAACCCTGAGCTGCTTGTTTGCTACTGATATGGGATTGCATAATGTTCCTCCTCTTTCTTTCTTCCTCTCTCCTTCAACAACAGTCGAGATGAACACAGATTGTGTTTCATGTGATTGTCGACCTTAATCCTTGGGGATCAAACAAACATGTCCTTAGCTTCGTGCTATGTAGAAGTTGAAAATTGGGAGATGAGAGAAGTAGGTTGGTTTATTTTTCACACCAACTCATACATCAAAAACCATTATTTCTCGGCTGGCTAAACTTCCATATCCGGATGGCGCACAAAATTTGTTTGATGAAACGCGTTAAAGAACTTCTCAACCTATGGAATAAGGCCTCGCCATTATTGGGTTCTTGAGTTCAAAGTAAGCTGACTTGAGTTGCTGGTTGATCACTATTTACTTGAAAATTCGAATACTCCATTATATATGAAAGAAAAGAAGATTATTTGAGTAGAAGAAACAGTGCTTAATACTTAACATCCCTTCCGGAATCCATCACATTTGGACTTGGTTTCGAAAGCAACCGGTTTCTGGGACTCCTCTTTGCTCATCGGATAACCAGCTGGTGGCGCAGTCACATAGGGTTCTGACGCAGTGGATGTTGACGGTGCTGGGTATGCAGCTTATGGATCGTTCAAAAAGAACTAAACCATGTTAATATTGTTGGGTTTTCCAAATAAAATTGGGTTAATTATGGAGTTAGTCATCAGAATATCAGATTAATTAATATTTTAAAGATATTTACAAATTGATCACCAAAATTGATTTAAGAAGATTGAGTTAAACATAAATGAATGAACATAAACGAACATAACCGAACATTCACAAACGTAAATGAACGAACGATACCTATATTCATGTTCGTTCATTTAATTAAACGAACACAAAATCTTGTTCATGTTCGTTCACTTAATAAATAAACGCACATAAACGAACTTCCCGCCGCACGGTTCATGAACGGTTCACTGAATGTTCAGTTCATTTACAGGCCTAGTTCTGATTCTTTATATATCGTCAACATAGTAAGACAAGTAAGTGTTTGATTAGGGGCGACTTTGCATGAGTTTTCATTGTAGGATTTCTGGGATTTTCGCCCTCAATTTCAGCAAAGCAACATCTTTCCCTGGAAATAAGGCAAATCATGATTAAATTATACACAAAAAAGAAGAGCTCTATATACCCTCCTGGTTACCAATTATCAACCCTAATGTCATTTCTGGGTTTTTTTTTCTCAGCTCATTATCTATTAGTATATTAATTTGTATGTTGAACTCTCAGTTTTACTTTGTGATGTAATTGTGGTTTGTTTCATCCGGTGATATGGGTGCTTTCTTGGTTTAATTCTTAAGAATTTGAAGAACTTTACATTGGTATTAATGAAATCAATGGAGGACCCAATTTTAAAATTGTTCATAAAAGAAGATTGTTGGGAAGATATTCTGCCCTTGGTTTTTAAGTAAAGATTGTGTTGACTAAGCACCGAAAGGTGCATATAATAAATGCATCGAAAAATGAGTTGTTTTTGTTGATTTTTGGACAATGGCTAAATCATAATTTAGTCATTAAACTTTAGGGTATTTACAAATTAGTCCTTAGGTTTCAACTATAAATACCCTAGCTCATTTAGCTTCAAAATCATCCCAAAGCATTCTAGCTTTCTTCCAATACTAGAGAGAATTTAGAGAGTTTCTTGAGAGTTGTTTTCTCCTTTTTATCGAGAGAGAATTATCATTGTTTTCTCGTTGGTAGATCGAGAGAGGTTGTAATTCCTATTTTCTCATAGTGAAATTCTTCTACCGTTGCCCGTGGTTTTTACCCTATTTTTTTAGGGGTTTTCCACGTAAATTTTGTGTCTCTTTTATTTTCATTTTTATTTTCTCAAATTATCAGTTGAGATTTTGCTCTATCCGATAGCCGTCTTCCGCAACAATTGGTATCAGAGCTAGATTAGAGTGTGTAATATCTGCTTATTGTCTTTGTGGTTGCCACCAAAAGGTAGATCCTCCAACATAAGAAAGTAAGAAGTTATTACCCCTTCTTTGAAGGTTCTAGAGAAGTATTCACGATAGTGAAATAGTGGGAGCTATCCGTAAACGAAGCAATGTCAACGAAATTTGATATTGAAAAGTTTAATGGGAGAAATTTCTCATTGTGGAAATTGAAGATAAAGGTCATCCTGAGGAAAGACGGTTGTCTAGCAGCTATCAGCGAAAGGCCAGTAGATTTCACATACGACAACAAATGGATCGAAATGGACGGAAATGCTATGTCAAACTTTCATCTAGCATTAGCAGATGAAGTATTGTCAAGTATCGAGGAGAAGAAGACAACTAAGGAGATATGAGATAATCTCACCAAACTGTACGGGGCCACATCATTGCACAATAAAATTTTCCTTAAGCGAAAATTGTACACTCTCCGTATGCCAGAATATACTTCAGTGACGGAGCACTTAAATACACTGAATACTTTATTTTCTCAGCTTACATCCTTAAGCTGTAAAATAGGAGAACAAGAACGTGCTGAACTTCTACTTCAAAGTCTACCGGATTCGTATGATCAACTCATCATCAACTTGACAAACAGTAATGTCACTAGTCTAGTCTTTGATGATGTTGCAGCTACTGTTCTACAAGAAGAAAATCGGCGCAAGAACAATGAAGACAGACAAGTAAATCTGTAACAAGCAGAAGCGTTGACAACGATGACAACGATGAGAGGGAGATCAACAGAACGTGGCCAAAGCAGCAGTCACAAACATGGTAGATCGAAGTCGAGGAGCAAGAAGAATTTAAAGTGTTACAACTGTGGAAAGAAGGGTCATTTGAAGAAGGATTGTTGGAGTCTAAATAAAAACTCCAATCCACAAGGCAATACCACAAACACTTCAGATGATGGAGATGCTCTATGCTGTGAAGCGTCAACCACCATGGAAGAAAGAAAACGATTTGTAGATATATGGCTCATTGATTCGAGAGCAACATATCACATGATCTCAAGAAGAGAATGGTTTCATCATTATAAACCTGTCTCAGGAGGATCTGTTTATAGTTGCAATGATCATGCCTTAGAGATCGTTGGCGTGGGAACCATCAAATTGAAGATGTATGACGGAACAATTAAAGTTGTTCGAGATGTGCGGCACGTGAAAGGCCTGAAGAAAAATTTATTATCCTACGGATTGTTGGATAATAATGCAAGCAAGATTGAAACACGGAAAGGAATCATGAAGGTGTTCAGTGGAGCGCTTGTGGTGCTGAAAGGCGAAAAAATAGCTGCAAACTTGTACATGTTGAAGGGAGAGACTTTGGTAGAAGCAGAAGCCTCTGTTGCCTCATGTAGTTCAGATTCGACAATGCTATGGCATCAGAAACTTGGACACATGTCAGAACAAGGAATGAAAGTCCTTGTGGAGCAAAAGCTACTTCCAGGCTTAACAAAGGTATCACTTCCTTTGTGTGAGCATTGCATAACAAGTAAGCAGCACCGGTTGAAATTCAACACATCAAATTCTAGAGGCAAAAGTGTTCTAGAATTGGTTCACTCTGACGTATTGCAAGCACCAATAACGTCCCTAGGTGGAGCAAAATACTTTTTCTCATTTATTGATGACTACTCCAGGAGATGTTGGGTGCACCCTATTAAGAAGAAGTCAGACGTGTTTTCAACTTTCAAAAACTTCAAAGCGCGGGTGGAACTTGATTCTGGAAATAAGATCAAGTGTTTCAGAACAGATAATGGAGGAGAATACACAAGCGAAGAATTTGATGACTTTTGCAGGAAAGAAGGCATCAAAAGACAGTTCACAGTGGCAAACACTCCTCAACAAAATGGAGTGGCAGAGCGGATGAACAGAACCTTGTTAGAAAGAACAAGAGCAATGTTGAGGGATGCAGGCCTAGAAAAATCATTATGGGCAGAAATAGTCAATACGGCCTGTTATTTGGTGAATCGAGCTCCATCAACTGCAATAGAGCTGAAGACACCAATGGAGATGTGGACTGGTAAACCAGTTGATTATTCAAACCTCCATGT